GGTGTGGGCGAGATGCGCGCATATGGCGTAAAGCGCGGGAAAGCGCGCGCGCACAAGGCGCGAGAAAGCGCGTGATTGTCGCATGTGTTGTATGGTGGGTATGATGCAAAGTGGCGCAGTCCAGGAGCGATCCAATCCATGTCCAGACCAAGTCCTGCTAGGCGCGCTAAATATTAGATGCTAAAGGTTTGAACATTGTGAGTAAAACTATATGTGAAAATATGAAGGGAAAATGGTAGACTTTGCGGATGTCCTATCCGACTTGTCTTCTTCGTGCAGCTGTCAACATCTACACCTTCCTATGAGCAAGGCGTGGGAAGCGCGCATGTGTGCGCGCGCGAGGCGTATGGGCGCGTGAATATTGCGCGCGTATGTGCGTGTGAGCGTGGGAAGACTGCGCGCATATGTGCGCGTTCTAAGGTAAAAAGGGGCATGGTGCCGCGTCATGCGTGCGAAGAGAAAATAATACTATTGAGCTAGGCGGGCACGATCTATGGTTGTTTTTCTTCTATGTTCTTCTAGGCAATCCCTATATGCATATATATCAGTGTGTTATTAGTCTTTTGGACACTGTTATAATGAGAGAAAATGAAATGAAAGAGCGCTGGACGAAACCCAGGGTAAAACAAACAATATCCTATGAAACAGTGTTGGTATATGTTCCTCCTTTGATGCGCGGCTGAGGCGCTTGATCCTCCTCCTTGAGCGCGTGCGAGTGCGCGTGACTAGCGCGCTTCGCGTCTCTTGCGAGCTGACGCTTTACCCAAGGTAGGGTTGGAATGAGCGAGGCTGGCGCGCTTGGGGGGGGCTTGTAACTGGCAGAATGAATTCCTGCACAACGCGCTGCAGGTTGAAGGCGCGCCAATGGGAGGCGCTGCAAGGGGTGTAGGGGCGCCCTACAAGCTGATAGGATGCGCGCGATGTGCGCGCCTTGGTGCGATTTCGCGCGAATTTAATTATATTGGCCGAACACGCGAGGAACGGCCATTTCTCTGCAAATGCATTAGCAAGAGACATGTATAGTGAAGAATTAGGCGCAAATGTTGCGCCAATGGGCTGTAAGGGTGGTATATCAAGGCGCAATAGGCGCATAGGTGAAGGAGAATAGTGCGCATCAAGGCGCGCAGGAATGAAATTGACATGGTAAGCAAAAGCGCGCAGAATGTGAATAAATGTGGGAAGTGCAAAGTTAAAGATGATGATAGGGGAGTTAGGCGCATATGTATGTGTCAGGCGCGCGCCTAAGTCGCGCCTGGATGGCTGATTGAAATATACTTTGTGTTGAATGATAGAAATGCGGTTTAGAAGGGGAGAAGCGATAGAAATGCGGTAGCGTGAAAACTCTGCTAAAATTATGAGTGCGCAAGGCGCGGGAATGCGCACGCGTATTGCGCGATGCGCGTAATCATGGCGCGTGAACAAGGGGTGGTGCAAAGATGAACCTAAAGTGTTTGGAAGCGTCATATAGCTCCTTAAGAGCTTCAAACATGAAAAAGACAAAAAATGCGAAACAAGATGAGGAAAAATATACCGTGCCTCTAGGCGCGCGCATTGCGCGTCCTCAGGCGCAATATGGTGCGCCTGAGTCGCGCCAGGGTCGCCTGAGACATGCTCTGCTTGGTGGTTAGATGGCGTGATGCATGGATGCTTTACTGGCATGCGATAGTTACTGGAAGCAAAAAGTGCGATGTGCGCGTGATCGCGAGTGACATCTGGAATTTCCAGAGACAAACTCTGGTTGATGCAAGGTGCAACTTGAGCCTCTGATGCGGTAGGAGGCTCCTCTATAGGCGCGCTAAGGTGCAATAGATGTTTAGGGTCATCCCTGACCTCTAATGATGCGAGCAGTGATGGTGATGGTGCGATTGGCGAGGTTTCTTCCTTAAGTGATGCGATAGCGAGGGGCGAGCGTGTTTCTAGCGGTGCATTAGTGTGCAATAGATGTTTAGAGTCATCCCTGACTAATGGCGAGGCTATAGCGATAGGCGCGTGCGATGCAATAGCGATAGGTGCGCGTGTTTCAACTGGCGCGTTAGTGTGCAATAGATGTTTAGAGTCATCCCTGACTACTGGTGATTCAATAGCGGTAGGCGCGTGCGATGCGATAGCAATAGGCACACACGATTCGAGCGATGGCATGTTAGTGTGCAATAGATGTTTAGAGTCATCCCTGACTACTGATGCGATTGATGGTGATGGAGATGATGCGGATTGTGAAGGAGATGATGCTGCTGAGGATGATAGTGAAGAGGCGCCTGCAGCGCGCTTTGCGAGCGCGCGTTCGAGTTCGTGATCTAAAGTAATGCAGTCTGATATAGCTTTGCATGCTGGCACAGTTGATGCTTGAGGTGCGCGTAAATCGCGCGTAGGCGCGGGAAAGGCGCGCGCGCGAGGCACGTGAATAGGAACTGGTGGCTTTCTGTCAAGTACAACATCTGAGGGTGCGCGATAGAAGAGTCCAGCTGTTGCATTAGCGCTAATGGTCGTATCCTGCGTTGCGCGACGCGCGTGGTAGCGATCTTTGTACTTAGCTACCTTAGCTTGCACTGGTGTGCTTGGCGCTACCACAGGTGCGCTAACTGGTGCGCTTACTGGTGCGCTTGGCGCGGGAAAAGCGCGCGCAGGTAATAGGAACTGCGCAGCTGCGAAGATGTCCATGAATGGGTATGGGTCGTATGGATGGTGGTCAGGGAACTTGATCATAAGGCGCAAGCGAATTTGCGCCTGAGCATCGCTAGGGATTCCTTCCATGAATAGGTGGTCGCGTTCGGCCTTTCCAATACGGTCTTCATCCATGAGTGGCTGCATAACCTTCCTGAATGCGCGCAGGTAATTGCTGAGTTCTGTGCAAGAGGTCATTGGTTTGTTAGCGTATTCGCGCGCGATAGCGCGCAAGTCCGCGAGCGCGTAGCGTCTTTTACCATCCCATCCAGGATACATTACCTTCACTTCTGTCATGAATGCTTCATAATCACTTACTGCCGCTTCTGGCATACCTCCCCATAGTTCTCGATCGTCGCGCTCAAGGTAGCGGATAATACCTTTAATGCGGTCGTGTCCTTGGAGTCCTGCTTCATCAGCAAGCTGCTCATATGCGTCAATAAATTCGGCGAGGTTGTCTGTAGTGCCGTCGAACTTGGGCGCGTTTGCTGTGCCGCGGATGGGCAATCTATAAGGCATTGAGGCGTGCGAAGGCGCATGCGCACGCGAGGCGTATAGGTGCGCGCGTAAGGCGCAGAGGCGTGGGAACTATTGCGCGCACGCAAGGCGCGAGAATGCGTGACTAGAAAATGGTTAGCTTTTGAAATTGCAAAGAAATTGACCTTATATGTGCGAATTGTGCTAAGTGCAAAGGTGCGCGCGCGAGGCGCACAGCGTGGGAAAGCGCGCGCGCAAGGCGCGAGAATGCGTGACTAGAAACTGGTTAGCTTGTGAAAATGCAAAGAGATTGACCTGTATGTGTTAAGATGCGCAAAACTAGATCTTGCTGACTGCTCCCCTCGCGGTGGGCTCCAGTTGTAGAAACAACAATACAATGAGGAACAAGGATGCTCCTAACTGTATCTATAAAATGTTGTGAGGTCGCGCGTTACCTAGTCTGCTATTCTTGAGGAGACAAGTGCGTTCGACCCTAGGGGAAGCGAGTGCTGCGAAGATCTAGAGGTACGCGCTTCAGCGAAGCGTGAGAAAGCGCAAGTGCGCGCAAGGTACGAAGGCGCGGGAACGCGCGCGCGTATTAGCGCGAAGCGCGGGAAAGCGCGCGCGCGTAAGCGGAAATAAAAGAGACTAAGCTTAAGTGATGATATAAAGCAATATAAGAAAAGATAGATGCAAAGTGTAGACCAATAGACTTCTACTATGTACTGCTAAGTAATTAGTGGGTGATAACTAGTAAGTTCAAGGGAAAAGTAAGGTAAGTAATAGTATGTACTGCTGGCGCTTATATAGCGCGCCTAAGCGCGGTCATGCGGAGCCGAAGCGCTACCGAGTAGGTATGTAAGGATATATATGAGTGAGAAACTATGATAAAAATAAAGGTGGAACTATGCTAATAAAGGAAATGGAAATATACGTACTAGGAAGCTTGGTGGACAGTGGATGGATGCATCTGAATGGCTGGCGCTATAGGGCGCGCAAGCGCAGGAACGCGCGCGCGCGTATACATCGCGAAGCGCGGGAATGGTGCGCGCATGGCGCGCGTTGCGTGGGAAAGCTGCGCGTCATATAGAGATAGCTGTGGGTAGCGCACAGAATGACGCTGCGAGTTTGTGCTGTATACTTCCTAGTGAAACCTGCCATATCACACCATGAGACACACGAGTCTCTACAACGGTTACAGTCGTAAGTAGGCATGCACAAACAGGAAACCATGGGCCATGGCGCATGCGCGACTACAATATCTTTTTGCCATCCCAGTACGTACCCCGCCGGCCAAAGTTCAGTCAAATGATCTGCAAGACCCTGAACATGTCAGTGCTTTAAGCTTCAACCTGTGTATAAACTTGACCATGCCGACCAATGGTTCACTAATGTATTGTGTACGTTGCAAGTTGCAGTGTCGTTCAGAACGTTCAAAGCGCATCGCCTGCTCAGCTAGTTCTAGAACAACAGCCAAAGCGCTGCCAGTGAAATGAATGTCTACACATCGGCGGTTTCCGGATCGATTCCACAAGCTAGATTTGAATCAAAATACTTGACGCAAAATAGTCACCGGCGAGAATGATCGAGAATCTAATTCAACTTACATAGTCACCTCGGTACCTGAGGGCTGAGCTTACACAGGAGCATAGATGCAGCCAAATAGAGATGCACGAGCCCATCGTGTCTTAGATTTGAAAAGCCTGTATATGTAAAGTGGCGTCAAACATCACATATTGCAAATGTCCAGTTCAAGTCTGGTTGGCGCAAATGCTTCTTGAATCTGAATATAGATCGGACACGTTTTGAGGAGTACATTGACGAAGTTTGTAATACTACCAATGATGAGGATCTTGCCATCACTAATCAGGGCGAGGAGGTGGGCGCGTGAGCAAGTCGACTATATATAGATTAGCAAGATGTGATTGACGAGTTGGAATACGCACAGGTTGTCTTGGCATATTCGAAAGCTTGACCCTCGTTTGGGGCACCAGAGTATTCACCGTAGTTTGCGAGTTCATGTGCGAAGCCTGCTGCTGTGATGGCATCACTTTAGATGACGGACGCACCACCATCTGCGATCATTATCCAAATACGACCGTTGGGGTTGAGGACGGTGAGCTTGAGAGAAGCACCGGTCGAAGCATCGAGTTTTTGAGCGTATGCTATGTCAAATCAGTACGACACAATGATGATCGACGGAGTACGTACCCTCTTCCTTTGTGAAATCTCTACTGAATGGAGCGGCCAAACTATAGGTGGACCACGGTCAGTGTTTACCTTGGAGCCAGTGGTAGGTGTAGCCGGAGCGGTCTCGTAGACTATTAAGTCTCTTGCGACAGCCCGCTTTGGACCGCAGATGCCCTCGGCTGTCTGGTCGAGCTTCGCAGCCATGTCAAGGTAGTGAAGCAGTCATCAAGATGGTCAAGGACGACCGAGGGGTTGGTCTCGAGGTAGGCAAAGTAATTACTGGAGATCTAGGACTCAAGGGTTAAGAGCTTTTTGCGCCCAACCCCACGATTCAAAAATTACACAGCCACACTCGAACTATTCAAAATTTCAAATCAGAATTTGCCCCAGATCTGCAAATTCAACGTTGAGACTATAGTACTCGACTCTATCATCACGTACGGAACGATCTACAGCATACTCAGAACGATGCTCGTTGCAATCCTGCAATTTCATCGCGGACGCTTTTAGGTTTACTTGGATCTGCATTCACAGCATCGATCTATTCTAAATTTCTCATGGAAGCTACACAGCTCAGGAATGTACAATCTCCTTCAAGGAATTCATGGACTGTTCATCGCGAGCATTATATATGTAAATAGAAACGTGTGTAAGATTAGAAATGCAATCAGAAATTATTTTACAATTGACCCGGCGTGCTCTCAGGGCCATTTTCCATTGTTCAAGAGTTCAAACCTTCATATTTAACGGCGTTCGTTGGCGTCATGTACAGCAATCCATTATGTCCATAGAACTGCTACAACGTCCAGAACACCGCCATCGACATGCGATTTGAAGTGCCATGTACAGCTACCTATCCGTATTATGATTGAGTTCTGTCAACGTGTCTGGCCACCGGCATCTCAAAACTTTTTTGATCATTGTCATTGCCGAGTTAAGCACATCAGCACAATGGAGAGATGCAGAACAAAGAGGGGCGTTAAACTTACAGGTGGCTAGTGCGACTCGGCGGATGAAGGACAAGGAACTGTGACCCCGGGCCTTATGGTGCAGTGTGCACAGCATCGCCAAAATGCACTTTTGGAAGGTGAGTAATCGCGTTTGTGATACCTACTGACTTAGCGGCCTCAACAAGAAGGAGCCGGGAATGAAGTGCTCCCTCCTCAATGGCAGCAGGTTGGGTTGCTAGATGACAGATTGGCATATCAAGATGACACGTCGTGATGACTTCATGGAACCGACCTTAACCAGGAGTGCTACTAGTTACAAGTGAGCGAATTGAATATACCACTAGCAACGAGGAACTAATGGTGAAACGTCGATTATCCTGGACAACTCGTTCCCGGATGCGAATGGCACATCTCACCACTCGGTCAGTCCTACTTCATCAATCACGATACCAAGACCACATCGTGAAAAAAACCAGTGCCTGAGCGTCCGCCAGAGAGCTTGACGCCAGAGTGTATGCTCGAGGGTTATCCCAAAGTTATTTGGAGCCTTGTTCGCTTGGGTACCAGTTGCAATATACTGAGCGCGTCACGCGATAGTTCAATTCGTCAGTGGGCAATAGATAGAGACGCGCACCATTAAAGTAGCTGCCGGTCGTAAGAAAAATGTGAGTGTCTCTCGTAGTGAAACGAAAGAACTTGAACACGGAATTACAGTCAGAGACTGGGGGCAAAACTGCTCTCGGCCGAGCTTTGACCAAGTGCCTGGTACTAAGAACGCTGCGCTTATGTAAATAAAATTTATGATGTTCTGATAATCCATCTCAGTGTTACGACATTCCAGTTTGTCTGTTGTGATGTCAGGTTAGAGATGATACTGTACAGTACACTATTGGCTCAGATGCTCTTCCGCAAGCAATCACTTTTCCTCCTTTGTCAGGAACAACTCGTATTTCGAGAAAGCAGGTGTCGCATCAGTAAACCTTTGTCTGATCAATCTGGCCTTTGCTTCGCTTCTGGGTGAGATCGAACAAGCAAACGGACGAGGTCTGAAGACAAGACCCTAAAGAGTTTGTTTGGGCTAATCCTTAACAACGTCGATGCAGCCATGACACACACCTCCTCATACGCATCGATATCGACAGGGATCGGTGCCTTCGTAACTGGATCAATGGCAGCAGCGAAATCAAACGCCCAGACCAACGTGGCAATGGTGAACGCCTGCTTGACTGTTCAGCTCAGAAATCGAGTGTTAGAGCGTCACATACCAGGTTTGTGTTGACTAAATTTATTCCAGGGCAGAGTCTCTGCAAGACATAATGAGATACATATTGTGTCCCTCCAGCCCAAGAGACTTACTCTTCCGCTCCCAAAGGGTATACTTGCGCGCCAGTCTTTGCTATCCACACCAGGTTTCGTCCCGTGTTCGGAGAGGAGGAATCTTTCTGGTCGAAAGACCTCAGGTTCATCGAAGACCTCTGATAATATTTGAGCATGCCTCCCTTACATGAGAATTACGACAAACTCACCTGGATCATGCAAGATGCCCCCTATTCAATGGTCAGCTTGACAGGTTGGAGAATGCGAATGTTACACATACAAGCATTTATGAAAACGGTTGTACCTCTAGGGATAACATAGCTTCGATACTGGCATAATATATTGGTCGATCGCCTCTTGGTCTCACGCCAAGTGGTACCCCGACTAGGACCCCGAAAAAGTCAAATCCAACACAGCGCCCAAAGGCGTCGACAACGCCCAAAGGCGCAATCAACGCCATCAAAAACCAAAAACCTAATCAATAAAACAAAAATATGTCCCAACCTAGAAGAAACTCGAACAAAAACATGAATACCCAACCTCCCAATGGACAACTACCAACGTCCACAAATGTTAATACTCGACAAACTCGGAAATCGGCACCATCCCAAGAGGAAATAGAAGCCACTCCAAGCACCGTCATGAATATAGAAAACGCTGAGGAATATTTGTCCAAAAATCTTTTATGCCATATCGATGAACCATTCACACTAACCCATTTAATTTCAGTTCTGTTCCATATAACTCAACTAAAGGCCATCCCCCTCCCAGCAATAGAAGCTATCCGGGCAGTTGCTTTCATCCTGAAGCAACACGAAGCCAGCGACATAGCGAAACTAGCCTCTGAACATATCATTAACATACTAACACCAAAAATAGCAGAACACGTCGTAGCAGCCATAGCTCCTCAAGTTGCGAAGATACTAACCACTTCAGAACACCTCGAGGACACGATGAAAGAAGCCGAAAGACTGAGAGCAGTGACAGAAAGGGAAAGAGAGGAAAGAAGAGGCGAAATGGAAATTGCAGCAGACAGAATCGATGAAACGGTAAACACACTCCACGACTCACTGGACGAATGCAAAGAAGCCTTAAAGAACATATCGCCCACCCTCGACAAGGCCAACGACCGTCTCAACGACTTCTCCCAACGAACAGACCCGCCTTCAACTCCAAGCCATACCACCACTGTAACCCAACCTCAGCATATGAAACCCTCATACAGTACAATCGCAGCAGCCCATCTCCCGCCATCAGTAGACCAGGCACTAGCAAGAACAGCCATCAGAGCCCGACAGATCATACTAGACCCCCTCCCAGGTGGAAACATGTTCCCACCCGAAACAACACATGCGGAAATCGTCAAACTTCTTAAAGAATCCCTGAAACACATCTCAGACGACACAACACCACACGGAGATATTCGAGCAGTGACCACATTCCGTAATGGAGGACTACTAGTAGAACTCGAAAACGAACCTCTAGCGACCTGGCTCAGGAAACCACTCAACAGAAATGCAATGGCAGGCAAATTAGGACCCACAGTATCGTTCTGAAGCAGTGCCTTCCCTATAGTAATCGAATATTTACCCATTCATACACAGATAACTGAAGACAAATTCCTACGGAAAACGGAAGAAGAGAACAACCTACTGGAGAACTCCCTAATCAGCGCCAAATGGATCAAGCCAATAGACAGACGCTCGCAAACCCAACGGAAAGCATTCATGCTGCTTCAAGTAATCGACGCGCCCACAGCCAATCTCATCATCAAGAACGGAGTATGTATTAGCAACGAAAGATTCACAACCCGAAAGGATAAGAAGGAACCATTCAGATGCGCTAAGTGCCAAAAGTTTGGACATATTACTCGTAACTGCACTGCACCCACAGACACCTGCGGAACATGCGGCAATCAACACCGAACTTCAGACTGCAATGCATACAAATCAGAACACTGCACCAATTGCAAGACCAACGATCACACAAGCTGGAATAGAAGATGCCTCGAATTCAAGCGACGCCTGGAGACCCTCAACGACAACTTCCCAGAAAATAGAATGCCCTACTACCCAACCGAAACTCCCTGGACTCAAATCGCCAATCTTCCACGAACAAACCGTGCTCAACCTCAACCTCCGCCTCCATCAGAACCCAACAAATCAGCTTTTTCATCTCGACCACTAACACACTTCACCCAATCAAAACTCAACTACCAGAAAGACCAATCAAGGCGCCAACCTCCCACTCCTCGATCCCAACCTCAAACTCAACCGATCTCACAAATACTAACCAACCTCCCTCCACTAACAGAAGACTCAGAATCATCCAGCGAGCACAATTCGAGTTGGTTCGATGCCTAACGACCGACCAAACCAGACCACCAACCCCGCAAGACTGAGAATCTGGCAACAAAATCTAAATACATCCATGGTCGCTCAAGAATCATTGCTCAACTCCCCAATTGCCAAACATTGGGACGTAATTATAATCCAAGAACCATATATTAACTTTCTTCGTAACACCAAAGCTAACCACAGATGGCACGTTCTTTACCCGACCCAGCACTACACCCACCCCCAAAAACGCTCCCGCGCTATCACACTCGTTAACGCTAACTTAGACACAAACGCATGGAACCAAATCGCCTTCCCATCTTCGGACATCGTCATTCTACAAATATCAAGTGAAACCGGCAAATTCGCTATATTCAACATATACAACGACGGAGGACATCAAGACACGCTCATTGAACTAGATAGATTCCTAACACAGAATATAGCAACAGTAAGACCGACCGCGGAAGACCAAATGCTCTGGATGGGCGATTTCAATCGCCATCACCCCCTCTGGGAGGAAATGCGCAATCGCCACCTTTTTAATTACACTAAATCCCAACCGTTAATAGACCTCATAGTGGAATATGGAATGTTACAGCTCCTACCAATCGGAATCCCCACTCTACAGGCCACAAGCACGGGCAATTGGACTCGGCTGGACAACATCTTCGGGACAGAACACATAGCAGACTCCGTCATATCATGTACGACGGCACCGGAACTACGAGGCCCAAAGACAGACCATCTACCAATTCATCTTATCATTGACACTAGCGTCCCAACAACCCCACAGGAGAATCGTAGAAACTGGAGAGAAGTCGATTGGGAGAAATTCAACACTACGCTAAGCAATATCCTCGAACCTTTTCCCCCTCTCCCATTAGCATCTAATGAAGAATTCCAGACCATGGCAGATCGAATCACGCAAGGCATCATAGACACCATCGACAAACACGTACCGCACTCGAAACCCTGTCCGCACTCGAAACGATGGTGGACGCGCTGTAGAGAATCATGCCTCTCATGGCGTGATATGGTAGTTTTCACCAAGGAGTATACAGCACGAACTCATAGCATTACTCTGTGCGCTACCCGCAGCTATCTCTATATGAGGCGCAGCTTTCCCACGCAACGCGCGCCATGCGCGCACCATTCCCGCGCTTCACAATGTATACGCGCGCGCGCGTTCCCGCGCTTGCGCGCCCTATAGCGCCAGCCATCCAGATGCATCCATCCACTGTCCACCAAGCTCCCTAGTATGTATATTTCCATTTCCTTTATTAGCATAGTTCCACCTTTATTTTTATCCTAGTTTCTCACTCATATATATTTTTACATACCTACTCGGTAGCGCTTCGGCTCCGCATGAGCGCGCTTAGGCGCGCTATATAAGCGCCAGCAGTACATACTACATGGGACCTACTTTTCCTACTTTTCACTTACTAGTTACTACCCACTTACTACTTAGCAGAATATAGTAGAAAGCTATTCCTTTACATTTTGCACTCTTATATCTCTTATCTTGCTTTATATCACTACTTAAGCTTAGTTTCTCATTTCCGCATACGCGCGCGCACTTTCCCGCGCTTCGCGCTAATACGCGCGCGCGTTCCCGCGCCTTTGTACCTTGCGCGCTCCTGCGCTTTCTCGCGCTTCGCTTAAGCGCACACTTCTAGATCCTTGCTGCACTCACTTCCCCTATAGGGTCGAACGCACTTGTCTCCTCAAGCAACGCAGACTAGGCAACGCGCGACCTATCAACATTTATAGATACTGCCAGGAGCATCATTTGTTCCTAGTAGTATTGTTGTTTCTACAGCGCGACCTCACCAAACTCCGCAAGAAGGTCACCAAGCTGCATCGCAAGGCATACCAAATGAGAGCACTCCCACGACACGAAGTCCACGAAGATCTTAAGCGCACCAAGAATGAATATGCTAAACTAATACAGGAAACAAAGAAACAACATTGGCAAGACTGGCTCGAAGATATCGAGGGCAACGAACTATGGACAGCTAACCGATACGTCACCTCAGCTCCAACGGACGGCGGCAAGACGAGAATCCCGACCCTAACGAAACTTAATCCAGACGGTACCGTGCAGTCAGCCAACATGAACGCAGAGAAGAGCCAGATGATAGCCCAAACCCTATTCCCCTTGCCACCATTAATTAACTCAGTTCCAGCTAACTTTACTTATCCAGATCCAGTAACGCACCACACCCCATTCACTCAAGATCAAATCGTCAAAGCAATATCAAACCTTAGCGGATTCAAAGCGCCGGGCCCGGACGGCATTTGCAATGTTGTATTCAAACGCTGCAGTACACTCCTAGCACCATATCTCACTCATTTATTTAACGGAGTCTTTTCCCACAGAACATATTACGATCCCTGGCGCACATTCACAACGGTAATACTACGGAAACCCGGTAAACCCAGCTATACGACACCGAAAGCCTACAGACCAATAGCGCTTCTGAATACAACCGGGAAATTACTAACAGCCGTAGTAGCTGGACAGATGACATTCCTACTAGAACGACATCAACTCTTACCTAACACCCACTTCGGAGGACGACCGGGACGATCGACCACGGATTCGCTCCACTTACTCGAAGAAACCGTCCGAAACGCATGGAGAACGAAGAAAGTAGCATCAGCGCTATTCTTGGACATAGAAGGAGCGTTTCCGAACACTGTAACAAGCAGGCTACTCCACAACATGCGCAAACGACGACTACCAAGGGAATTAGTGGAATTCATGGAAAGACTACTAACAGGAAGAAAAACGCAGCTCCGATTCGACGGATACACATCCGAATGGATACCAATCAACAACGGAATAGGACAAGGGGACCCATTATCAATGATACTTTACATAATCTACAACTCGGATTTAGTAGATGTAGCCAAGGCACAGAAAGGTAGGGAAACGCTCAAAGAACTAACCTTAGCTTTTGTAGACGACACGGCATTCATAGCAATAGCGAAGGACTTCAAATCTACTCACAGAATATTACAGGATATGCTAGAACGAAACGGAGGAGGATTCGAATGGTCAAGAACTCATAACTCAAGATTTGAAACGAGCAAATTCGCGCTAATAGATTTTTCTTTGAACAGAGCGAAGGAACGGCCAAGCATGAACATTCAAGGTAACATCATCAGACCATCACGCACTCACAAATTTCTAGGAGTCATTGTGGACCAGGAGCTCCGATGGAGAGCCCAAGTAGATAACGCAGTGGCGAAAGGCACCGTGTACGTCTTGCAAATACGAAGATTATCTACCATGTCCAAAGGAATACCAACCAAACTCATGCGCCAACTCTACCACGCAGTAGCGATCCCCAAGATGATATACGCCGCGGATCTATGGTTCGCACCAGCGTTCAGCGATGGATCAGACAGCCCACAACGCGGATCACTGGGAACAGCCAAGCGCCTCACGTCAGTACAGAGGATAGCCTTACTAGCGATCACCGGAGCAATGAGAAGCACCGCTACTGATCTCTTAGAAGTCCATGCTAATGTTCTACCGATAACCTTACTCCTGCAAAACACCTGCCACAGAGCCATAGTTCGCATATCAGCACTGCCGAACACGCACCCTCTTCATGAGCCAGTACGACGAGCAGCGAAGTCCCAAGTATCCCGCCATCGCTCCTCACTCCATAGACTAACCCGATTGTTCTCAATAACACCCGCAGATATTGAAACGCTGAACCCAGCAAGAAGAGCCCCGCCCACTATAATGCCATACAAGATTCGAATAACGGACAGGAAAGCAGCAATAGAAGAACACATGCTACTCACCGACAACATACAAATCTACTGCGACGGATCAGGATACCGGGAAAACATAGGAGCAGCAGCGGTCCTCTTCAGAGCCGGATCACGCCCAAGAACCCTCCGCTTCCATCTAGGTAAAGAAGAGGAACATACGGTATTTGAAGCAGAGGAAATCGGGTTAACGCTAGCAGCAAAACTGCTAGAAACGGAAGAAGACCTAATGTTCCCAATTTCAATCTCAATAGATAATCAAGCAGCGCTAACCGCCGGTGAGAACTCAGAAGCTCGCCCAGGATCATATATTGCAGAATATTTCAACAGACAGATGAAGAACATAGCAAGAAGGCACCCAAACTTCGACGTAACGCTACGATGGTCCCCAGGTCATGAAGGCATCCACGGTAACGAAACTGCAGACAAGGAAGCAAAATTAGCGGCCACCAGTAGAGAGAACAACAGCAATCGTGCAGCACTCCCAAAATTCCTCAGACATGGTATCCTCCCATTAAGCTTATCCGCCCTGAAACAAGCGCACTGTCAAGAAACAAAACGCAGATGGAAGAGGATGTGGGCTACATCCCCCAGGTATAACCGCACTCAAAGATTAGATCCCGAAGTCATCAACCGATCATTTGTTAAACTAACCGCTACATTCCCCAAACGCTTAACAGGATTACTCATGAGCCTAAGATCACAACATGCCCCACTCAACCAGCACCTCCATCGCATCAAGAAAACCGACAGTCCATTCTGCCCACACTGCCCAGAACGCGAAGAAACCGTACATCATTACCTACTGGAATGCCAGAACTACCGACAAGAAAGACACACCATCCAAGGCGCAATAGGACGCGACGCCTCCTCCATACCGTATCTTCTTACAAGCCCAGACGCGATCCCTCACCTAGTAAAATACGTTAACGACACGCGCAGACTGAAATCGACACTCGGTGTAGTACCATTAACTAAAAAACGCAAGAACTAATATGCAGAACAGATGTATCACCAAACCGCAACGCTCCAACATTAACATCAACACCAACTATTCTAACCTACATCAAACATAATCATACACTCAAAATCAAATAATCAGCCCCACACCTCGCCTACAAGGGACCTCGGACATCAAAAGAGCAAAAGAAGAGAAGAGAGCAAGACGGCCAGCCAACCAAACCGTCCCATCAGACTAACCTCCTCCCAAATGAAACTCTAATAGATCCCTGTAACACTCCGTGAAAGCGGACGAGAAACATGTACCATCATCGCACATCACACAACCGCCAGTAGAGCACTAAATCTACTTACCACGCAAACGAGATGCGCGTCTAAAACGGCCGGCAGGAACGGCGGACTGACGGGGGTACGCCTCACGTCAGGGCATTTGCGATCTCAGGAAGCAAAGGACACAGGGGGTCCAGTAGATTAGAAAGTACTGTCCTACATAGGATTACATCCTCAATGGACAAAAAATCGGAATTAAAAAATAAAAATAAAAATAAAAATATATATATATATTGGTCAACGTGGGCGAAAACTGTGACTGGTAGATCGCGACTTACTTCTTGAGTCTCTAGCAACGCGTGAGGCATTCCAAGCGGTGTCATAGGTTTCAATCTATGTACCTAACAGACTATCAGCCTGATTTACTATTGCTAACCTAGACAAGAATTCACCTCTCTTAGGATGGCACGGACATCATCAGGGAAAACCTCCCGCGAAGATTTTGTAAAATTTTCTGAAATTTTCTGACTTTCTGAAAATACATTAAAATATTCCAAGTCCCTCTACGGATGGGTGAAAATTTATGAAAATCCACACGAATACAACAAAATGATTATAATGTGATTAAATACTAGAATATCGCAAATCACAAGATATGAAAATGAGGAAATGAGACAAAACGTGTAACGCAAAGTCCCTGTGCTATCAGGAATGCCCTACTCATCCCATCGAAATCGATTCGCGCAAATGCTGCTTTCAACTCAGCGGATGCAAAGTCAACCAACTTCAGATCAAGTAGGGAAGAAAAAATCTGGTAGAACACAGTGAGATAGTGCTTGAACAGTTAGAAAAAGATGCACCACAGTAACCACAGCTGAGACCATGGAATTCGGGATCCGATGTTCATAGTAGCAATAATGGCATCGACTGCTGATAAATTTTTAGAAGTATAGTTATGATCAGAGTATTGCGGTGTATCGTAGCACACGTGTCGGAAGATCAGACAGTGGACATGAGTCAAGAGCTCATCCCGATTGGCTCGAGGACTATGAATAACGCAGTCGAGGTTGGCTTCCAACTTCCTGGAAGCATGTCAATAATATTCGTAGTCTCCAATCCGAGCACCATACCGGAAGGCTGCAGTAGGATTGCCACCGAACATAGGGCTAGCAGTGAGGCCCAAGACCATGGGATGTTCATCCTGCTCAGTCGTCACACTAGAGCCGTGGACCACGGGGAGGCGGGTAGGGAGGAACCAGGAATCAACCACATGACTCACCTGCGCGCCTCAGAATGCAGTGGCCCGGCTCTGGCCTGAGCTGCGGCTCGAGTAGGGAATTTGCGATTCTGACAGTGAGCATGAGCGGGTCGCTGTGAAACCAGGATTCAACTACATGACTCACCCTCAGAATGCAGTTTTGAGCTATGTGTATGCTCCAAATTGAGCCTGTAGCTGGGAGAGATCAGGAAGGCCGGTTGGACCGCCAAAAAGAAGAGAAAAAAAGGAATCCTACATAGACACCTGGTTTGAATGACCACGCACAGATGAATGCGACAACAGAATTCAGACGCCCGCTCGGAGCGAGACTTAGCTCTGTGGTGGTGATGCCTCTCACCTAGAGTCCCCAACAGTAACCATAAGGGAGAATGAAAACATAAAGAAAACGACGTGACAGGGTGTGCAAGTGGTTGCCGCGGCTCGTGTAAGTTGCAGAGTGAAACATGAATATTTGAATGAGTTCATTGAAATCAACCGTGGGAGCCCTGTGATTAGTAATTAAATTGTTGGTGGTTCGATTTTCAATTTCTCAATTTACTTGTTGTCGCTGAGGCTAAGGCCCTTCGAGCGAGCTCTATGTAGCCAGCAGCAGACACCTCCGAATTCTCCCTCCCACCTGTTTAAATATATCCCCGTTCTGCATTGCGTGAACTCTACATTTTTGATATACTAGTAATTAGTTACATATCTCATGGCAGGTTCAACTAGAGCCCTGTAGATATCTTTTTCAGTGCATTCACTGACTGCGTTATGGATGTGACTATTTATCAACTATTTACAAGCTTTTACAAAAATTTGATGAAAGTTTGCCATAATTCTCGAGAATTGTTGTCACATTTTCAAAATTCCCGTGGGAGGTTTTCCCTGATGATACGGAAGTGATGCAATGTCATCCATCATGGGTGGCCGCCCGTCCGGTAGAACGGAGTCGATCTCATTTTGAGCCTTTCGCAGTGTCTCGGGGAAGGCAACAAAACATAGAATGAGGGAAGAAATGAAGGACCCCGAAGAATGGGATGCTTCGAGCACGATCGCACCTAACCAGCTACAACGCGAGATGGGAGTTCTTAAAGATCTGATTCAGAGTTCGCACTCACGCAGCAGCGTCCTTTGACATTCCGAGCTCTTCTTGACGCTGAATGACTTCTTCCATAAAACAACCAGTACTTTCTCCTCTGGCGAGCCTTGTTTCTGCCTCTTCCAATAACCCAAAATATAATCGACGTTGCAGTGTCCTCGCCTCCCTGCATATTCTTTTCCATGGCGCCCACCGTTCCGGGACATATTTGAGAATAGGGAGAAGATCGACAGGAGGCCCCTCAGCAGATACCACCTGCACGGTGAGTCTCACACCTTCATAAAAAATTCTTTCTTCCTCCGTGTCAGGGCGAGGGCAGCGTTTCCCAAAAGCTATAGACAACAATATTGAAAACGTGTAACGATCGATGTGCTTTTCGAAGTCCTATGAGGAGATGAGAATGCTTAATAGATTATGGAAAGAAGGGAACCTCACTTGAGGTGAACGGAGTAAATCAAATAGAAGTTGTGAACTCTCTGCTACCGCGACTGGTAGGTGTTTATTCACACTTTGTGGGGAAAGCAGGGTCTGTAACGCTTTTCGGCCCATATGCCAGATATCCGTCGCTGACGACTGATAAAAAAATTGAAAGGATGCTGGGGAGAAATAACATACTCGAATCTGCTTCCGCGATAAAATACCCATCCGTTATGAGACTTCCAGTGTAAAATGACGGACGACCAGAGGTTTCATTGCTTCGCTTATCCATGAATTCTTTCAGAACTGTGGCATCTGATACCACAACAACTGTGCCGTGACCAATCTTCAACTAGGAACACTGTCAGAGGCAATGGCAAAAATGTTTCTGTACCAAACGTTTCTTACGGAAAAAATGCCACCATATTGTCGAGCCCATTCGGTAAATCTAGAACGAATGAGGTCTGTAACGTTATAAATTGGAGGCAAATGCGACACCCTACTTGAGTTGAGCGAACTTGGGCGGGACCATGAGGGCATTTCCGAGTATCGGGACGGTTGGAGGACCAGGAGGTAGGTGCTGCTCGCGCCTTCCAATGCTTAGTAACTTGGTAATCATCCATATTATACCAGTGGTTAGGAGGAGGGAGAACAACGAAATGGAATCCATTGTGTCACTGCTTCTACTGGGTGGCGCTGACAGTGAGGTGAAAGGGCAGGGTACAATGCTTGATGGTATCTGATGAGATGGGACAATACCGTCTAGCATGATGTGTCCAGGTGACTTGTCCCAACCTGCCGAATTGGATTATGATAACGTATATTTGTCCGTACCATTTTGAACATTGCTGACTTGCCATAAGGATCTACAAAAATCTGGAGAGGTTTCGATACGCATCAGCCGAGCTGGCAGGAGCTAAATTGAAACAAACATCCTGAAAACCAACCGTTATCTGCCAAGTACGGATTAGAAACATCTTTGAAATCGAACATGTTTTACCCATAACCCCGCCAACTTTATAAATTCTTGCGGAAACTCACACAATCTGACGTCACGGTAGAATGGACTCTGGAAGAAGAACGAAGTCAGGAGGACTCAGAGGTATAAACCAATGAGTCATGGACTGATAGCCGAGTTAGACTCGTTCCTCCAAAGTCAGCCTATCTGAAGAGGCAGTCTGTTATCCGCGTTTTCGTGTGGGAGTCATAGTCGACTTCTGAATGCCACATCAATATCAAAATGAACAAACAATTCACGAAGTCGCCTGTATGGAGAAGGCCTGCGAACACTCCATTGGAGTTGTTTATGCTGAAGTTTCTACCTCATAAATTTGTGTCCGCGGAAAGTGGGCAGTTGGAAGGAATGCGAAGCCTTTTGATGGCAAGGTGAAGTTACATGCATAATGCGATGCTATACAGGGCTACGTATCCATCGTTACGACGGATTGGGTGAAGAAAGCGGTTCTTAGACTGGGACTTCTTGACTTTCACCAGAGGTATGTGATCTTGGTATGGTTTCGGGGATTGGTATTCAAACACCGTGTGTTTAGTTTGTCCGAGGGATTGATAGTCGCGAATAGTCGCCACATTTCGTGCGTTGCGACGTATGCATCCACGTTGCTTGTTCGCGCGTTGTGGTTGACATCGAACACGCCTTTACTGGTCGCGATCCAGCGGTTCTGTTCGCATGGCGGTGAGTAATATACGCGAATGTAAACGAAATAATATCGTGACCTTGCTTCATACCAGAATTCCACAATATCTATTGCCGTATCACCAGGAATTCCGCATCCCCAGCCCCCTCTTTCTACAAGATGGGAGAACCCAATTGGTTCGATGTCACACCTGTTTCCGATGAAGACATTATCGCATCACCGTGGGCCATGCTGCCGCACGTCATCATGATATGTATGTCAGGGGAAGGCACAATTGATGACTTCCGTCGTCTTCTCCTCGATAGAAATCAAGGGAACTGGCGTCCTAGTCAACCTCATAATGGGACGTGCCAAGAGATTGTTGACTACGTCAGCAAACTCAAGGAGCTCAACTTCGCCCACTTTATGGCGCACTGCTCTGCGCACCATGATCAGTTTCCATTCACATTGCCGGATGATGAGGATGCATTAGAGAGGGTATCTGACCTGATCCAGAAAGGGCTGGGCGAGAGAGCTAGCGACACCTTTAAGGCGGCCAGGGATGGGGCTGATGACTTTGGAACAGGGAGATCTATGAACATGTTCACGATTGAACACTTGGTCGTGGAATTTCCGGGCATGATATTGAAAGAACTGCAGGGAAAGCCTACCGTTTATGGTTGTAGACTTGAATCTTGATAAGCTCGCACCAGTAAATTGTATTACCAGTAGTATCTTGACTTGAGCAGCCAAACTTAACATCGCCAGTACTTGGACACATATGGGAGATTGCAACGTTGAAACGCACCAGATGGTAGCATTTATTTCATCAACGCTCATGTTATTACCGCGCTACTACAGATGAAGAAACAATTTTAGAAATTTGTATGTTGATGTTCTTCAGGCGGCCTCTATCTTTGAATGTTCTCATAGGACAAGCAAGTCACCCGATAGCATAGCGGCCGGTCGCGAGCGCTTCCCACGCTGGTCGCCGTCGGGTTCTTCAGAACTTGTATATAATATGTTATTGAACCTGGCGCGGATGAGGTCGGACGGTCGGATGACCATTCAACCTTTCGAATTGACCCTTTCGAAGTTTTAAATTCCAGGTGCACTCGATGATACTTCGTGGCCCGGTTATGATCTCCGCCGGAGGATTCCGAAAATGCACGTAGACAGCCATGAACATTGGAGATCAGCACATTTACAAAAGATATCTAGGTATGTACTATGGGCACACTGAACGGGCTCCTTATACAGATAACGTACACATATTGGGCAAATCGTAGAAAAACCACTAACGGTGAAGCTAGATTTCGCCAGCAATGCCGTCCTCTAACTGCTGGCTTCACCATACCTGAAAGATTGTTCTCACACCATGCTTCTCGAAGCCCGACCTACCGTGTCCTGGCCAACTCCATCGTGACTATGATCGTTTCAAGCAACTCTAGGGTCAAATCCAAATGACAGCTGATTTTTATGGCCAAAATATTTAAAACGGCGGGCTGCAACCAAAGCTGCAAGCTGGTTTCATACTTGACCATCTAACATTGCTATGTCGAGTCATTCAATCCCCATTGTTGATTTCGCTCCGTTCTTAGACGGATCTGCGAAACAGCAGGCTGCAGATCAGCTCCTCGGGTCCTTCAAATCGTATGGACTCGTCTACATCACGAATTTCGGCATTCCGGCGGGAGAGGTCCAAGAGATGTTTGATTGGGTGAGTTAACAACCGCCTCCCTAGCTAGGACTTCTAACCTATGAGTCGCGCGATAGTCGAAGCGCTTTTTTGCCCTTCCGCACGAAACCAAAATGCTCGCACCTCGTCCAGACTCTGGAAGGCATCATCGAGGTTAGACAATTCTATTGCCAAATACTAAGATTAGAGGTTTAGTCACTTTCACATATGTCGTCTCTCAGGTTACGCCTTCCCCGACCGGGAGAAAGTTTTTCAACTCTTGGATTCCGGAGATTCTGCCACTGAGGCTGACATATCACTCCCAAGCGTGAAAGAGTCGTTCGACATCGGGCGTGAGGACGATGACTTGATGCCAAACATCTGGCCGCCCGATCACATCCTCCCCGGCTTCAAGGAATCATGTTTGGCGTTCTATTGGGTCAGTGTGTCCACTTGGGCCTGACCTCTTGTACCTTGATTCTGACGGAGAAGAAGAAATGCCACGAGGTTGAGAAGAACGTCCTTCGCGCGCTCGCGCTGGGTTTTGGCTTGGAGGAGGAGTGGCTTGTGAGGTATCATAGGATGCCCGATAATGGGTTGAGACTGCAACACTATCCCAGGTAAGCTTTCATTGTCGATCGACTGATGTGAGCTTGAATCATGATACTAGCGTCGCCCTCGAATCTGTCCTTACGAACAAAGTTGCACGAATCTCGAATCATACAGATTTTGCTACGCTTACAGTCAAGTCTTCCTTTCACACCATACATTGAGGCTCACCCAAGGCAGATCCTCTTTCAAGACAACGTGGGGGGCCTGGAAGCCGAGGATCCGAATGAGTCTGGGAGGTTTTTGGTGTGTAACCGTGAGGTCGCCTCCATACTAAAGTCAAAACTAATTTTTGGTTGAAGGCGGTACCCTCAATTCCGAACTCGATCATTGTTAATGCAGCGGATTTCTTGCGGCGATGTGAGGGTTCCTTTAGTCTTGCTGGGACCATATAGCTGCCAGTGCTGATTTGACTTCTGTAGGGTCGAACGACACGATACGGAGCCCGATGCATGGCGTCCGCGCACCGCCGGATGCGGTAGCGAAGGATGGTATGCTTCCAGATCGATATTCTATCCCCTACGTGAGTTTATGCCCGCTATTCCTCCGTCCTGTAGCTGATAAGTCGACATATATATCAGTTCTGTGCTGCCGTGCGCCATCTTTCCCCTTTTCATGCCAGATTTGTCGATTGATGGTTGGCATGTACAGGACTTTTCCACAGTCGTTGATACGATCCCTGGTACGTGGTCAGCAGATTATCCCAAGAAGTATGAGCCCGTGTCGGTGAGTTGGTTTGCCTTCCAGGTGACAAATGGAAATTACATATATTGATGTCAATGGTGACGGAATAGGTGGGAGAGTATGTCATGAAGCGGCTTTACGATGGTTATTAAAGCTGGCGAAAGGTGCTATGGGTTGACATAAGTATGGTAAATATCTGTTTGTCCGCATGTTCCAAAGTTTATGTAAGAATGAGCACAGAGCTTGTCAACTGTCAGCACCACTGCGCGTCCGACTAAGCGTCTCAGACGCTCTTAGCTTTACCGTTCTATTCGAAATTTCGAGTCGAGCTTGTCATACAAGGACTCGCATTCAAGTGTCCCGATGGCCACAAACAGGAATGCAGGGCGCAGATGGTGGGGCGGCACTAGTTTCTTATGAAGTTAGGTGCTGCGGATTTTTTTTATAGTTGTGATCGTCCTTCCTCGCATTGGTCATGAGGTCGTCTACTAATTTAACCAGTTGTTTCGATTTTTTTTCTCTTGAAGTCGTGAGCTTTCTTAACATTGCCAGTACTTGGACACATATGGGAGGTTGAAACTTGAAACCCACCAACAGACGATGGCATCTATTTCATCAACGCTCGCGTTATTACCGCGCTACTACAGATGAAGAAACCACTCTAGAAATTTGTATGTTAATGTTCTTCACTCTATCATCTTTGAATGTTCTCATTGGACATGCAAGTCACTGATAGCATAGTGGCCGGTCGCGAGCGCTTCCCACGCTTGCTCGTTCGTCGCCGTCGGGTTCTTCAGGTATATAATATGTTATTGGGAACGATGACCATGCTGGCGCGGATGAGGTCGGACGGTCGGATGACCATTCAGCCTTTTGAATTAACACTTAGTTTTAAATTCCAGGTGGCACTCGATCATACCACCTCTGATCTCCGGAGGATTGCGAAAGTGCATGTCGACGGCATGGGGTTTACCAGGATATTTACAAAAGATTGGATGGATCTAGGTATGTACCATGAGCCCGGCACACTGAACGGGCTCCTTATACAGATAACGTACACCCATTGGGCAAATCGTAGAAAAGCCTCTAACGGTGAAGCTAGATTTCGCCAGCAATGCCATTTTCCCCTCTGGTTTCTCTAGTTGCTGGCTTCACCATACCTGAAAGATTTTTCTCACACCATGCTTCTCGAACCTCGACCTGCCGTGTCCTGGCCAACTCCATCGTGATTATGATCATCTCAAGCAACTCTAGAGCCAGATTCAAACGACAAAGCTGATTTTTATGGCCTAAAGGTTTAAAATGGCGGGCTGCAACAAAAGATGTAAGCTAGTTTCATACTTGACCATCTAACATTGCTATGTCGAATAATCCAATCCCGATTGTTGATTTCACTCCGTTCTTAGACAAATCTGCGAAACAGCAGGCTGCAGATCAGCTCCTCGGGTCGTTCAAATCAGCTGGATTTGTCTACATCACGAATTTCGGTATTCCGGCGGGAGAGGTCCAAGAGATGTTTGACTGGGTGGGTCAGCCGCCTCTTCACTTAGAATTTCTGACTTACACCACGAAAACTGAAACGCTTTTTTGTTCTCCTCACGAAACCAAAATGCTTGCGCCTCATCCGGATTCTGGAAGCCACCATCGAGGTTAGATCTTTCATCATTGGCTGCAAGTTCACTCGCCTTCACATATGTCGTCTCTCAGGATACTCTTACCCTTGCCAGGAAAAAGAAATACAATACTCGGATTCTGGGGACGAGTTTACCATTGCACCACCAAGCATGAAAGAGTCCTTTGAATGCGGAAGCGAGGATAACGACTTTATGCCAAACATCTGGCTGCCAGATGGCGTCCTCCCCGGGTTCAATGAAGCGTGTTTGTCCTTCTTTTGGGTGAGTGTGTTCCATCGCAGTTAAATTCTATGTACGTGAATTCTGATGGAGTATACAGAAATGTCACGAAGTCGAACAGAATATCCTCCGCGCCCTTGCACTGGGTTTTGGCTTGGAGGAAGAGTGGTTCTTGAAGTATCACGAGACGGCAAATAGTCAGCTGAGGTTACATCATTATCCTAGGTAGGGTTTTCACTCACTCACGACCGGTATGAGATTGAATAATGCTGTATAACGCAGCATATTCTCTGAATTGCTCGAGACGAACAAGCTGACAAGGATATCGGCTCATACGGATTTCGACACGCTTACAGTCAATTTCCCCCTCCGTGTCATCTGTTCAAAGAAGCGAGGCTAACCCAAGGCAGTTCCTCTTTCAAGGCGAGATAGGAGGACTTGAAGTCGAGGACCCGAATGAGCCTGGGAAGTATGTGGTCCGTACCCCCGTTCGAGCCCACTTCCACACCAATATCATAACTAATATGTATTTGTAGCCAGTGCCTCCCATCCCCAACTCGATCGTTCTCAACGCGGGTGACTTTGCGGCGATGTAGGGCCCTTCTGCTCTGCAACTGTTGGACTGGTACCATTGTGTTGACTTGTGAATTGTAGGGTCGAATGACACGATACGGAGTACAATGCACCGCGTTGTAGCACCGCCGGGTGTGGCAGCAAAGGATGGCCTGCTTCCGTCCCGGTATTCTATGCCCTACGTAAGTTCCCCCTTGATCTAGACAAACGCTGCGGATTTCTTGCGGCGATGTCAGGGTTCCTTTGGTCTTGCTGGGACCATGCTGATTTGACTGCTGTAGGGTCGAACGACACGATACGGAGCACGTTGCATCGCGTCCGCGCACCGCCGGATGCGGTAACGAAGGATGGCATGCTTCCAGATCGATATTCTATCCCCTACGTGAGTTTATTCCCGCTATTCCTACGTCCTGTAGCTGATAAGTCGACATATATATCAGTTCTGTGCTGCCGTGCGCTATCTTTCCCCCTTTTATGCCAGATTTGTCGATTAATGGTTGGTATGCACAGGACTTTTCCACAGTCGTTGATTCGGTCCCTGGTACGTGGACAGCAGATTATCCCAAGAAGTATGAGCCCGTGTCGGTGAGTTAGTTTGCCTTCCAGGTGGCAAATGGAAATTACATATTAATGTCAATGGTGACGGAATAGGTGGAAGAGTATGTGATGAAACGGTTTGCCGCGGATTATTAAAGCTGGTGAAAGGTGCGATGGGTTGACATAAGTATGGTGATTATTTGTTTGTCCGAAATTCGAATGTTCCAAAGGTTTATGTAAGAATGAGCAAGGAGCTTCAGTGACTCAGCACCACTGCGCGTCCGACTAAGCGTCTCAGACGCTCTTAGCTTTGTCGTTTTATTCGAAATTCCGAGTCGAGCTTGTCATACAAGGATCCGCATTGCAAGTTGTTATCATTCGCTTACCCTCGTTAGTAGCATAGCATCTCGTTACCTTCGTTCTTTGTTTTCTATCTTCATTTCACTACCGCGCAACTCTAGTTTCCATCGAATCCAGCAGCGTCTGGGCCAATTCAAGCCATACCTCTACCGGACGCTCCTGTGGCCAAACCAGCAGCCAAACAGCCACGCTTCTCAGTAACGCCCAGCAGCTAATGCGGGTCCCGCACCAAGTCCCAACACAGCCTGAGCTACAGAGAGGAGTATTGACCCGCCAGCGGCAAACTCTTTGACAGCAGCGCCCATGCTATTCGCGTCACCTGAAGAGGTCGAGAGCCGCAGCTAAGAAGAAGGAAATCAAAGTTACCCTGCCGGATATCGTGTCAGGATTCAAAGCAAATCCTCTCGACGCTGGTGAGCATTGATATCTCCTTCTTGTCTCTGTGGGGAAACCGTATTGTTTTTGTTGCATGCACTCTACTCTCCCAAGTGAATGCACAGTTAACGCGGCTGAGATAAAGTTCAGCGATGTTGGAATAGAGCGGTAGGCTCTGTTGATAGAGGCAACACAATCATTATGTCAGGCTGTAGGCTGAGCGGCGCCGGTGAACGTTTAAGCCATAGGCCTACAGAGTGGCTCAAGCTATATGCTATTTCTATGCTCGTCAGAACTGGCCCACGCAGAAGGGGCAGCAGCAGCAGCACAACATACGAATGGCAATGAGGCTAGCAGTTCGATGCAAGCAGGTCGATCTCTGGGTTGTGCTGGACACAAGTGTCTCAAGGACCCCCGATAGAAATGCAATTAGGTCCATTTCTAATTGTCCCAGGCACACAAGTGTCTCGAGGGCAACAAACAGGAATGCAGGGCGCAGATGGTGGGACGGGATTCTTGTGAAGTTAGGTGCTGCGGATTTCGTTTTAGTTGTGGTCGTCCTTACTCGCATCAGTCATGAGGTCATCCACTAATTAAACTGGTTGCTTCGATGTGTTTTCTCTTGAAGTCGTGAGCTTTACAGACTATTTCGCACATGGCCATACACTTCGTGAACATTGCGTTTGACTTGAGTCACCCAAGATTTTTTTCCTCTCGTGTACTTTTACAAAGTATTTGGCAGGTTGTGTTTTTTACTTGTGATAATTTTCTTACTGTAAGAGGCACCAGCGCTTTTTGTGACCTATATTGACAATGTCAACCTACGACAGTTAACTCGACCGATGCTGGCTTGCACCCGATGAGAAAGGTAACAAAGGCTGCACATACATTCAAGTGCCAATTATAAGGCAAAACGTGTCTAATATTTGATGTACAGATTCAGTGCTGTAACACAAATCAAAAGAACCGCACTTACTCGGAAGTAGCTTCCCTTCAGCTGTGTCATAGGAACGGCGATGAAAAACAGGCCAATCACAAGCCTATAAAAACCGTCAGACTCTTCGAGTGCGTCAAGCGAAATCACTTGCGCTGTTTCAACACCAAACACCGTCAATGCTCCAGATTTTGTAGCCCATGGGACTTGGAAATATGCGACTGCGAAACCTAGGCCGCAATCGTGAACGTCGAAGAAATCATGCGCCGTTGTGACTCACCGCCCACTGATCTTGCAAAGTTTAAGAGGGCACTGACTTCGCCCTAGAGGGGAAGGATGTGTCACTGAAATGCAAATAAATATGTATATATGCGTCACTCACTGCCCTGCGAGGGAAGCAGTCATTGCAATATGCGTCTAATGATATTCCTTGAGTTTTCCCATGACACTCGAAGTATTGGATCCGAGACTTACACACTGCAACAGTGTTGAGGGTGATTGCTACAAATGCAATACCCCAGCCTATGATGAGAGCGGCTTTGTTGAGATGTTGTATCCCAGCACCCAGCGTCAAAAAGCCACAAATATAAAGCGGCATGGCTAAGTAACAGGTCCTACACAAATTCTCAGCTCTAACCTTAGATCATCAGTTGAGTTTGCATACCACAAGCGGCTCTCGGGCTCGAAGAAACCACCGTTTTTACGAATATGCAGATACATGATGAATTCATTAACGTAACGTCCAATAATCTCGCCAAGAAGGACGGCGACCTAAAAATTCCATGCTCAGAACAGTAATCATGCATACTTCATAGACGGAAAAAACTTGCAATTGGAGTCGCATACGCTCCAGCCACGGCATATTGGCTAAAGTCAAATCCGACGGGAGGAGGAGATCCCATGAAGACAACATTTGTCGTCTACAAAAGTCGGTAAGTTTATTACTGCAGGTCGCAACGGAAACACCCACGTTCACACCGATCGAGAACCCGAAAACCAATGCCTTTCGAAAAGATCAGCAAATGGACTAAGTATGATTAGCAATGCAATTTATCTCACCTCAAAGAGAACTACGAAGAAAAACTGAGGACGCCAAGCGACATCCAAAGGTGCCAATAGAACTTCCGGCCATCGTGGTCTGTATTTTGCCATCTTGTACCCAGTGACACCTATCAAAGTTTCAAATCGATATCGCAGTCCCGTAGAAATTTGCAGTGGCTTCGATGCAAGGTGACGATCATACATACTGGTTCAGCAAAAGTCAACGCCACTATCTTGAGAAGAAACAGTATGTCAGAACGTACGTTTCTTCCATAAAAAACGCAATGAGAACTAATACGATGGCGTTGTAGATAGATCCTATAGCATAGGCCCATCTCCAGCTATCCAAATATTGATGAGTATCCTGAATCAAGGATAGTATGTGTAAGACGTACCTCGCACGCGCTACAAGAAAGCCAAATACAAATGGTGATAAGAAAGGCGATCTATGAGATAGTGAGAAATGTTTCTCCCAAATTGAAAAGGATTCATTCTCTGACATCACAAAACCCGAGGTCCAGATGTTCAGCTTCCGTGCTTGAAGATGGAAGGGGAAGATATCCGTCACGACATAAAGTCCCTTGGAGATTGGTGAATGACAAGGCTATCACGAGAATTGCTACTAATCATACTGTCACCTGGGGACACGTTCTGAGACTGTAGTCAGTTTAACGCAGCCATGAAAAAATGATGACCTGCCCAAAGAATCCACTCAGGCAACGCATCCCTTCATCAAAGGTTAACATTGTCCAAAAATACCGAATTATTGTGTAAATACCTGCGAAGGTGGCTAGATTCGGCGCCAGTGTGGCACCAACTAAGAATGCAAGTGCAAAAAGCTGCGCTCAAGTTTTCAGGGTTTATATCGGCCAAATCACTGGAAATATATACCTGACTCCAGAAGAGTACTGGCAACCGACCATACCGTCTCACGAGCATGACCCAGAAGATGCCTCCCCAACCTGGACTACAGATGAGAAGAGGCTATTCTCATGTGATGATGTGATCTCACCCAGAAGGAAGATGCCCCAGCTTCAGGAAATTGTCATTGAATGTGAGTAACGATTGATGCATCACGCACTTTGACGTCCGATCGTTGATGATACCCGAGGTCGTGTCATAAGTTTGAGCGAGGCTAAATATCGACGCGATTCCTGCCAATAAAGGTATTTCACAATGAGACTACTATGGATATTGAGCGAGGGCGAGATACATACCAATTCCACCGTCGAAGTCAGGTACCACTCCAGACATTGTAATGATGATCAGGTGCACAGTCTTACGGAAATCTGTCCACTACGAATGAATAGCTTAGCGTTAGTGAAAGGGACACAATAGTGAAATGACGAACATTTTGCGGGTCGTTCGGGTCGTCAGCGGGTTGAGGCCAGAGAACCTTTAACCCATCAGGACTAAGCTTGAGCCTAGAAGCCATTACCTCCCCAAACTCAACCTTCGCCTGTCTAGTGAGTAACGAATGAGTAACGATACTCAGGATAAGTAGGAGCAACAACTACATACTCGGGGTCAACTACTAAACGGCCAGTAGTCTGCTCGTAATAAGCGACAAAATCCACCTCATCGGTGACATCGACTTTGATTGAGTCATCTGCTTTCGTTTCTGACTGCAGCTGCTGGGATCTAACATCCTCTAGAGCCATTGGGTGAGAGTTGGGAAGCGAATATCTTCACTTGATGCCCGTTATCAATTTAAAGCACAGTACTTACGATGAGACCGTATCTCTTTTAATTTCAGGGGAGCGCAGATTGTGAGGCCTTGCCAGAGTTAAAACCGTCGTTTTACGATCCCTGTTCAATATAGTCTCCGAGTTGGACGAGCTGTATTTAGCATAGACTAGACCGAAAATGTAGGCACAACAATATTTTCCAACAAGCGAGGAAGAGATCAGCATGAAATCAGTTTAAATCTACTGCTGCTGATAGGGGAACTCACAGTTAGTGTTATGGGCAGAAGGGGTCCGGCAGAACTGTGTTCTGTCAGCGTGGCAGCATCACGCAACTGAGAGATTAGTAATTACCTGATATGGACGGTGTGATGTCAATGTAAGTTTGATGTAAGTAGATGCTTCTTGTATCTACATACATCACATATTTTTTGTTGCGTGCACCCTACTCTCCCAAGTGAATGCACAGTTAACGCGGCTGAGATCAAGTCCAGTGATGTTGGAATAGAGCGGCGGGCTTTGTTGCTAGAGGCAACACCATCATTATTCTGGTTGTAGGCTGAGCGGTGCCGGTGATCAAACATTCAAGCCATAGAGTGGCTTAGGCTATATGCTATTTTTATGTTCGTCAGAATTGGCCCACGCAGAAGGATCATAGGCTCGGGACCAGCCTGGCTTATATAACCACGGACAAGTTGAGTGGGACTACGTCAAAAATTCTCCACTCAGGTGACGTACGTTAGACTGGTCACGAGTCTAGAAGGATCATCGATCAACAAGAATGCAGGGCGCAGATGCGGACGGGATTTTTATCAAGTTAGGTGCTGCGGATTTCTTTTTTTAGTTGTGGTCGTCCTTCCTCGTATCCGTCATGAGGTCATCCACTAATCAAACTGGTTGCTTCGATGTGTTTTCTCTTGAAGTCGCAAGCTTTACAGACTATTTCGCACCTTGCTATACACTTCGTGAGCTTTGCGTTTGACACCCAAGGTTTTTACAAAGTATTTGGCAGGTTGTGTTTTTTTATTTGTGATAATTTTCTTATGGAGAGGTACCAGCGCTTTTTGTGATCTATATTGACAACGTCGACCTACGACAGTTACTTGACCGATGCTGGCTTGCACCCAATGAGAAAGGTAACAAAGGCTGCATATACGTAGTAATATGTGCTGTATGGCCACCATTATAAAGGGCTCCAATCTAGATAGGTAGGTATATGTGAAAACGAATGTGAATTTACATTGAAGTGGTCTTCTATATTCGAATCAGGACTAGAATTTCCAGCCGCCCGACAATCCCATGATATTTTCCGGATCAACAGCCTTCTTGATCTCTTGCAAACGAGGCACGTTAACGCCATACATCCTCTCTAAAGTCGTGTTGGGAGGCGCGTTGTTCGGGTACACGGGAACATCCGCGATGTCCTGACCAAGATCCGTGAGGGCCTGAATCATATGCTGGGCGCTGGCGTTGACAGCTTGGAATATCACGTCGTCAAACTGCGCATCTGACCAACCATAGTATACTTCGATGAATGAGTAGCCTTTGGCTCGTGATGCTGGGTATGCAGTCGGCGAAGCGACGTGGTCGTAGAGCGTGGGCACGTAGATATCCACGTCGTATGAGATGATTTTAGCACTGGCTTCTTCCAATGCTGCGCCCCAGAACTGAAGAATATTATACGTTAACGATGTATTCAAATCAGAGGGAAGGAGTCATTACCAGTGTCTCGTTTGCAATCATGTCCAACGCGGGCACTGTAACCTCCTCCATTGCTATCCAATGAAACACGGATCTGTCTTCAAGTGAGTGGAGTAGACGGACCTATGTTCCGCACCGACTTACCTGAGGTTAGAAGTAACGTTCAAGGGAAGAGACTGCACGAGATTTACGTAGGATCTGGTACCAATGTCTGCTTCGATATGAGGAGCTGTCAAGAAGTCTTCGAAAATATCATAAGGGCGTATTGGAGCATCATAAAAGAGGATGGTCGATTCTTCAGCCTGTAACGCAAACACCCAGGTCACTCGCTGAGTAGAAAGTAGAGAATGGCAAGCTGACGCACCACTCCAGCGACATAGTTATAGGTGTTGTATATGGATGCCTTTGTATCGGTGAGATTCGCCGCGTAGTGGGCAATAGCTGCGGTTGCGCCATCCCATTGGTCATGCGAATACGAAATACGTCCGCCCTGCATATAAGATGATTGTCAGGGTATACTTACCAAGATTTTGAGTCCTTACCCAGACTAGAGACTGAGGATACGTTTTGACAGTAACCCTCGTCACGATGCCCTGCTATTGTCAGCACGTTCGTCAACAGATCAATTGGCGCTACGCACAAAGTTATTGAATCCCCCCTTGAAATGTCGCAGAAAATTAGGATAGTTGATGTGATCAGACCGCTGAAAACTCACCCGCAAGGCAAAGAACAGATCTGGATTTGTGGAATCCGATACATCAGTCACTGTGCCATTGGGCAAAACGAGTTCGAAGGATACGACGTTGTCGAAGCCCAGGCCATGTTGATTAGTTAGATACGAATATCCTAGTAAACAAATAAAATGAGCTTTATTTTCATCATGGGCCTTGGTAAAACCATACCTCCTCCTAAAACAACGCCTCCCACTCCAATGCCAGTAACTTTCGCACCCACGACACTTACGTTGTACGGCTGCAATGCAACATAAACATCGTCCCATAGTAAACCTGTGCCCACGGTTGCTGTCTGTGCTGTCGAATCATACACAACATCCGAAAAGGAATACATCGCAATTTGAACGCCTGGCGTTGAAGAGAAACCTGCATTTGCGGCGTGTCCTCCACTTTTGATCTTGATGACAGTCAGTATCATCGACATATAATGCTATTGTTACTCACTCCAAATTCTGTCTGTGTCTGTCCCAAAATTCGAAGCTGAAATGCAAGACACGTTAGCAGGTGAGTGGTGACTTTGTTCGCCTCGCACATACCGCGATTGCAACATCATCAGCTGTTGTAGGCTCAAAGGTACATTGGGAGCTCTGAGTACTAGATGCAGACCAGTGATAATTGTCCTTGAAATATTGATACGAGCCTGTAGAAATATGGGTCAGGCGTCACCAAGAGACTTGACTGGAAGTACGCACCGGGGTAATACACTACGGAGCTCGACGAGACCTCCGATGCGATCTGCTCGCAAACTGGACTTCGAACGACATGTTCTGCATGGTGAGATTCTGAGGAGGTATCATCATGGCGTGCTGTGAGGCCAGAGAGGCCGAAAAGAAAGGAGAGTGAGAGGTCAGCAAATGCGACCATTATGATCTAGTTCGGAGAAAAGTTTGGAAACTGGCCATCGAAAGTTTGCAGGAGGTTCTATTTAATTACTAGCGGAACATGAACCGATAAACGACAAATGATTTTTCATTGGCCGACTACGCCACTCATGCATGTCGTAAGTACTTACCTCAGGTCGGTTCATTGAGAAGATAAAAGGCATGCCAACAGTATGCATCAGCGTGGACGGAGATGAACGCTTGAGCGCTAGCCGTAGGTACTCGCAGTAGATCAAATACTTTTCTGATCACGAGAAGGGATGAATTGCAAACGCACCGACTTAAGCAAGTTAGATTGATACATTGGACGAGCAAAGGAAGCGAGTCGATCCGAAAAACAAATCGGGTCCTTCTCTCGGATCCGGCTCAGCTGCCCGATCACTTTCAAGCTTCTGGCTGAGTCGTCACGACCTAAATATCTCACTCAATTCTTACTTCCACACATAATTTACAGCTTCAATCAATGCTTCTAATACGTACCGTTCATTGCGAGGTTGAACGACTCATTTTCACGAAGAAATGGTCAAGTTCTTTGAAAGCAATCAAAGTCACGCTGGTGACAGCCAGCCGAACGTTGCCGTGGCGGAGTTTTAAACCGATACCACGACGGGCTGCGACGACAAGATAGCCGCTCGAAACGACTCAGCCAGGAGGGATAGCAATCTCGTTATCTGCATCTCCCAGCTCCCTCTAGGTGACTAAAATGGCGACGGCAAGGCCGATGAATTTCGCATGACGGTGACTGGGATGTACATGTGTGACCGTGGTGTAATAAGACAAACAGATATTTGACTGCCCGACCAAGCACTCCGAGGCATCCCCGAGACGTGACATCAATCATAATCCAAAATTTCTATCATGGCATCACCGTCACCTCCATATCTTCAAGCTTCTCTCTCACTCCTTCCAACACCATCATAATCTCGTTATCGAAGCCGATGAATTTCGCATGACGGTGATTGGGATGTGTGACCGTGATGCAAGACAAATAGATCTTTGACCACCAGACCAAGCACTCCGAGGCATCCCCGAGACGTTGCCCAAACCTGTCCGCCAGACTTCTGCGTTGTCTCATACAGATTGGTCATCTCCTACGTGTTCTCATTCAAAATCAATCATAATGCATAATTCCCATCATGCATCAATGCATCACCACTGAAGCAGGCTTGACAGTGTTGGGCAGTAGAACGTCTGTACACGCAAATGACAGAGTCTCCAACTCATTTTCGTTGCATTATTACTTATAAAGTATTCCCGTGATTTTATAGGCCAGCCAAAGACTCCAGGTGTGCACGTATGATGGTCACCATTCACCGGTTTATGGTATAAATTTTGTTCTTCACAGCGTCTGACATTCCCTAGGAGGTTTTGTAAAGCTTCAAACTCGGCATGCAGTTCATCCATCAGGTTCAGTGGTTCAATAGCGCACTCGACAGATCCTATACATCTATCAAGACGAAAGCGTAATGCCAGCGTGACACTGCTCTTCATGAAATTAAAGCTCTTCAGTATGCAAAACTGACGTTTATAATTCTAGCGAGTCTCTATCATAAACACTTCTCGCCTCACGAGCCTCGATCACTAGTACTGTCCTCCGTCCGTAAAGCACAATACTTTCAGACCTTCAATCTTACTGCGCGACGAGGTCAAGTCAAGCACGTCAGCAAAGCGGGAGAGACGTAGAAGGAGAATCACTATTACACGATTTCACCAACATCCCTCCAAACGGACGCCTGTGCAGTACCACCATGACGCACCTTAGAAGAGTGGCCAACTCCATGATAATGCCCACAGACTGACTCAACCAGAACCAGGTGGAAGTGCGAGGCTCCCTCGATAGCAACAATTTCTGAGACCCGTATCTCTCACAGCTTTGATGTACCTCGATGGAATTCTAGGTCAGAAACACTACGCATGCACCTAAAGGAATAAGGTCAATTTCGTGTGGTGGACCAGAGCAGCTGTTGGCGAGTCGAAAGGTGAGGAGCTCCATGTCAATTTGAAGACCTAGCTGCACGCAACCCTCAAAATGCGATCACGACCTGCAGTTGTCACACACGTCGAGCCCGCACATAGCTTCAAAGATACGTCGTTTTAGCACATGGTGGGAAAACGATATGAACTCGAATTTCAAAGACTTTACAGGGCAATTCAAGATAGCTAACAGTACTCACAAGACAGCACAATCAAGCGCTTGAAGAGGCGCAGTATATTACAACTCCCGATACATGCATGGACAAACCGTATCTGCCGTCTACACCGTGACTAGTGTCAGCGGAACCAATCCATGAGAAAGTTGGAAGGACATACCATGAACGGCGAGTTCGTGAAGCACCCATCAGAGATCCTAGCACCGACCCTGAGTACGATAGAGTAACCTCCATCCCGAGTGGTGTAACGTCTATGCAGGGCAGCGGACGCGGCTTGAGCGTTTGCCGTATCTGGATCCCGCAAGAGTGCTTGACCCGCTTGCTCTCGAGTCAACACCCTGACTGGGATCTGGGTGCTGGAAGGCACGACCATGCGGTATGTCGCAAGCCGACGGTTGTCGATGGAAAAGGGTTCCATTTGCGCCTGAATCGAAGACGCGGATGGGATCAGGGAAATGCTCCCTCATGTAGGCAAGGGCGCCCCGTGAATCGTTCAGTGCAGCGTGGACCACAGCTCGAATCTCGACTTGGCTCTGAAGGGTGATATTGTATACACGACTGCTGATGCTATCCTGTGTCCAGCCGATTGCCCCCACAGGCATTGTTTTGAGCGAATTCGGTCTGTGATCGTCGTGGGCAACTTCATTGTACAAAATAGCACTGATTGCTCCTGTGAGAGCCTGTATTCCGACGCCAGTTGTGCGGATGTGTGAATTTCAATGGCTTGAGTTTTGCGTTTGATTCTGCGCTTTCACTGTGACTAGGTCTGTTGTGTTTCTAGCTATAATCATGCGTACCTGCTAGTCTCACAATCAACTTGTTTGTGGTAGTATACGCCAGCCTGGCCACGAGCCTACGGGTCATCTGTACATTTGAGTACATTTTAATATGAGGCGAATTGAACGCACAGAGGATGTTCTATTATGCATGTGTGATTTTACAAAGTAGTGAGAACGATGGCCGACGATTGAATGTTGGCGGGAGAGGTTGTACATGCTAAAAAAGTTGGCAACGTCAAGGTCAGTCATCAGCGAAAATAGCATGCCAAGTTTAAAGGGAACATGCGCATCCTGCGAGGCTTGCTACTCCTGGAATTTTTATCGTCGAATCGTACCATTGCCTTATACACATAGTAATGTGAAATGTAAAATCCAGTGTATTTCATACTAGAGACAATATAAACTGCTGAAAGGACGCGCAAAAAAGTGGAAACAACAGCGAGGGTTTGCGAGAGCATGTCAGAAGGGATAGCACAGTGCAACGGACGGTATTATGAGTGACGAAGAACAAGATTGATACCTGGAACAACAGTTAGAATGAGCAAAGACTTGAGCTTCAAGTCGCTACACACCTGCTATACACACACCGCGAAGGTGATCAGCAATGTGGTTTCATGGAAAACCAACAGAAACAAGCCCAAACACCCTTGGACAAGATTCAGAACGCGCACAAAAAATGACACACCAAAAGCGCGCCTTGCTTTGGAATTCCACGAGGTGCAGCGTCCAGGCGCATGTATGATGAAATGATGTAGTAAGTGTTTCAAAACGTTGAGTCCGAGTCGTTGATGTCGGTGGTACACTGTAGTGGGGTGGCAGTTGCGTCACGTAAGCAACACGGTCTGTACTGAAATGGAAATTTGAATTGGCATCCTGGCACATGACTTTATTTCTCAATTTACCCGCGGGTAGCACCTGGGTATGACCCGGGTCGACCCATGTCAGGCCTTAAGTGGCCGCCTGCACGAACCACGAGTCGATGTTGAGTCGATGGATTCGGCAGCGGTCACAGCAGCATTATATACAGTAGGTTGCATCCTCGCTTTCCAAGTGGACATTCCGTTCTCATTCTTCTATCCAGCCGAGATCATCCTCCTTTCGTTATCAGCTCAATTGGATGAGTCGTATACAATCATTCGGTTCTTAGCGTGACGTCTTCAGTGGTTTTAACATTGTTCGCATTACCATACGAAATACACTTGATTCTACATCTTGACTTGGTGTGCTAACTGGGTAGTACGATGCAAGTCCAATCACTCTGAGACTCGCATGCCCCCTTCGACCTCGACCGGCCACTTTCACTGAAGACTGGTCGGTGATCTCCATTTCCAGCGCGTAGTGCAATCATACCAGCGTCCATATCGTGAACAGCCTCGACAATGTGGAAATACACGTGTAGCCCTCAACCTCCTTCTCAGCTGAACTCTATTGACATTCCCCATATCTTTACCCTCATCCTTCCTTCTTACTGATTCCGTGGCCCATTCAGCCCATCCTCGATCCTCATCAATTTGCTCCATCCACCATCATGCCTGGTACCTCAGAAAGTCGATATATCAGACTGGAAGGCGAGCCCCTCCGATCCACCTTCGTATCTGTTGTCATCCTCACACAATATCTACAGTCATCAGCGGAAAGAGTCTTCAGGTCCCCTCCTGCCGCATTCCTGCTGGCATCTACATATCCATCAATGTCGACTCCCGGAGGCGCTGGAAATCAGCTATCGGTGTCTTATCATCTGATGAATCTGTAGCTTGGGGGGATACTATCACTCTGTAAAGTCCATGGACACTTTTTGACGCGATGCGAAAACTGATCGTCAGTTTGTAGATCATCACACTCTGCACCTGCGTTGTCAGTGGAGATTAGGGCGCCCTTTGAGCTTGGTCGAATGCTAGGCGGTGGAGAAGTCATCGGCGAACTTCAAATGTCGTGGGATGAGCTACTTGATCATGGAGATGAGCCATTTGGTGGGTGGTTCGCTTCTCATTTATGCACATACACTAACGTCTCGTAGATATATCCTTCCCACCCGTGTTCGGTGTCAAACCTTCCCTTAAGCTGAAGGCCGCCATTGTGCATGCTTGCGACGATCAGGACGACGCACTGTTTGATGTGAGTGACGCTGGTTTCTGTCCTGTTAGCTTTTGTTGACAGAACGCAAACTGCAGTCCCTCGCAGACTGCGAGATTGCTCGAGACACAGATGCGGGCCACGCACAATTTGCCGCATATGTGACGAGCAAGACAGTCTCTCACCTGAACGACGCTGTAAAGCATTTTCAGTTGGTTCTGGACCAGTGTCCGGTCAGCCATCCAGACCATGCAACGGCTCTCACCAACCTCGCGCGGGCCTGCCTTGAAGGCTACATCCGAAATGATGTTGATGACATCGATGCCACCACTTCCCTCTTCCGCGACGCCCTTGCATTGCGTCCGCAGCCCCATCCTGATTATCCCTTATCTCTATATAATGTCACCGAAGCGCTGAATTGGCGTCACGACAAGAAAGGTACTGCTGCCGACATCCGCGAAGCCGCCCAACTGTATCATGAACTACTGCCTCTCTGTCCAGAGGGCACCTACCTTCGTAGCATCGCGGCAGGGAAGAATGGTGTCAATTATGTGATCGGCGGATGCAACAGTCTTCCAAAAGACGCATCTGATGAAGGCATCCATCTTCGAAGAGTCGTCCTCGAGCTCTGTCCTCTGGGCCATCAACTCCGTCCGAAAGCCCTCGACAAGCTTGCACAAGCGGTTGAAGAACGCTTTAATCAGCACGGCAGCATTGATGATCTTGACACAAGCATACAACTTGGTCGTGAAGCCGTGTCTCTGTGCCCCGAGGGACATGCTAGCCATGGTACCTACCTGAACAACTTGGCCTTTTCACTTGCATTGCGATTCGATCATCAAGGCAAACTGAATGACCTCGATGAGGCCATCTCTTTGCACGAAGGAGCGTTGCGCCTGTATCCTGTTGGGCACCAATATCGTGTTTTCTCATTGAACAACCTAGGGGGCGTTCTCGTCGAACGTTTCAATGAACGCGGCGACATTGATGACATCACCCAAGCCATCAGCCTCTATCGGGAAGCACTGATGTTGCGCCCACTTGGGCATCCACGTCGTGACACCACGCTGCACAACCTGGCGCTCGCGCTCAAAACCAGATATGACAAAACGCATGTTAGCGAGGATTCCAACGAGGCCATTGATTTATATCGTGAATCCCTTCGGTTAATGCGGCCTGACCATCCAGGGCGCCATAAAACTCTTCGCAATTTGAGCTCGGTGCTCTGCTCTCGTTTCACACAAACTCAGAAGAATGAAGATGTCAAGGAGGCCATTGTTCTTTGCCAAGAATCATTGGCGGCTCCATCTTCATTGCACCCGGGCAGGTATTTCAGCTACATGCAGCTGAAGAATGCCTATTTATCTCATTACCGGATTTCACACAACCCTGCTGATTTGTCGCATGCAGTGGAGAACTTCAGACTTGCATCGCGGCACCCCACTCAAGGATTCCCACAACGGATTCTGACAGCATACAAATGGACCATTGCTGCGGAGCAGGATGGTCATGGATCTGCATTAGAGGCATACAGCACGTGTTTCGACCTTCTTGATGGTCATTTGGCAATGCGATCATTGACAATTTCACGACGTGAAGCTGCTACTGCCTTCAATGGTGTCAAATCGCTGCCTGTAGATGCAGCCTCATGTGCCATACGTCATGACGATCTGCGACAGGCAGTTGAACTCGCAGAGCGGGGTCATGGCCAGCAGTGGTCGCTGGCATCTCGACTCAGGACTCCAGTCGAAGACCTCGAGTCAGCAAATCCAACACTGGCGCGCAATTATTTGGAGCTGAGCAAGCTCATTTCCAATGCAGCCCAGAGTTCTTGTACGTTCTGAGCGGATCGTGAGCTTGCGAACGTTGACGCATGTGAAAAGGGCCTTTGTAAGCGTCCATGTGGAGATTCGCATTCTCGTGCTTCGATACGAGAATGGACTTGGTCTGTGCGCGCATTCTCAAATAAATCCTCAACTTCGAAGATTCGCGCTTGAGTTCTTTCTCTTCTTCTTTGTCCTTCCCATTTGTGCGACGCCTTACATTTTAGCTCATTATTCTGACGCGTCAATCATGACCTCTGCCGTCATTCCTTCAGTCGCGTCAGGCAGCTCTGCAGCCACACCTTCCTCAACCCCTTCAGGCACCGGCAATGCTAATTCTTCGGCCACTTCCGTTCCTTCGGTTACGCAAATGACTCACGATCAAATCGTGGCCGAGAACGCGCGCTGAGTAGCAAGCAACGCTGCTTTGCAATTGCTCAGAGACGCTGGCAATCCAAATGTCGCACAAGACGAACCTCTAATCCCTCTTCCGTCTTCTCCCTCTGCCGGAAATCATTTGCAGCAGTGGATCTCTGCTTTCGTCAATCTCTCCCCAACTTCTCAAGCTCAAGGAGCTGCAGTTCTTGAGGGGATAGCTGGAAGCTCCAGAAACGTCGCCACTAGACCGAATACCACTCCCATTTCCAAAGCTCTCTTCGACAGCTCCAAGGAGATTGCTACTTCTAGCGGACTCGACTCTACTTATAATTTTGGGATTCATCATTTCATCCAGGATCTCGCAAACGCCGGTGAATATTGTCCGTTGACTCTTTTCTCCAACAAGAATACGGAACGTCTTCATCGTGAAGGTCACTCTCTCAAACGCACCAAGGTCCACGTCAACGGAGTCTCTCACCACCTCTTAGATCTCTCGCAGTTTGAAAGTGAACGCGACCTTGATCCTCTTACTTGGCAGGAGGCCTTTCAGCGATACCTATCGTGGATCGCTGATGTTGGTGACGCACCGTCCGTCAAGCGATGGACCACACACTTCACCACACTCGCCAAAGACGAAGCCATTCGTAAGAATTTTCACGCCATACTGGAATTCGACATTGAGACTAGACAAAACTATGCTTTACGTCCGCACCAACATGACGAGGCTGAGTGGAGCCATCGTTTACAGAAAAAGAAATATGCTACCTTGCAAGACGAACTCTTTCGTCATTCGCAGCAGCTTCGCTCATCCTTTGTCGATCGTCCCATTAACGCTGGCTCTTCTTCTCGCTTTGAGCCTTATGACAAGGACTCATCCTCCAAGCGTCCTTTTAAGAAGAACGAAGGAGAATCTTCTTCCTTTCGTGACTCCAAGTCTGCCAAGTCAACAGACCCCATGTGCATCATCTGCGGACGCACCGGTCATCGTTTCTCGGCATGCACTGAAGAGACTTCGCCGAAAGGAGCACAAAATTTTGCGAAATACACAGACGGAAATCTCTGCAAACGTTCCAACAACTCTCAATTGTGCATCGGATTCAATCTCAACAATCCCCGACGTCCTTGCAAGCGGGACCACTCCGATCAACACTTATGCTCATTCTGCGGGCGACCTGAACACGGCGCTTTGTCCCGCTCCTGCCTCTAATCTCTCTGACGAGGACTTCTTCTTGGTGCACGTCCCAGATCTTGAGCCTCCCGATTCACCTGCCCCCAGATTCTACTTCGACAACTTACAAAAACATCCTTCTCCATACGATCTTGACGCTGATTACTCTCTTGTCAACACGCCTTACTCTCCTGAAGGTTTTGATCATCTGCTCGAACTCACCAATCTCACCCATCAATTTCCCGAGCTCACATGGAAACTTCGTCATGGTTTTCCCATTGGCGACATGAGTCCTCTCACTTCTACTTATACTCCGCACAATCTGCCCGGTGCTGACATATATCGTGAAGTCTGTGATGAATACATCGCAGACGAGCTCTCAAAGAAACATTTCTCAGGCCCATACACTCATGAGCAACTCTTCGCCAAGATTGGTCATTTTCGCTCGTCTCCTCTCCAAGTCATCGTTAAAAAGGGCATCAACGGTGCTCCAGACAAACACAGAGTATGTCGTCACCTCTCATATCGTGGCTCGATGAGCGCATCCATCAACGACGAAATCGACGCGAGCAACTACCCTACAGAATGGGGCACTGCGGCAGAATTCGCTGACATAGTGCGTATATCTACATACATGTACTTCTCTCTCTCGGATGCTCTTTGCGAGTCTTGCACTCGTTCGAAGGCACGAGAACCTATACTCTCTCATCTCGCTACTTCTATCAGACTCTAATATATTTATCTCAGGTACGAGACGCTCCTCCAGGCGCACAATTTGCCACCCTGGACATTGAAGCCGCCTATCGAGGCATACCGTGTCTCCCCACTCACAAACCATATCTTATTGTTTACCACGATGGTAAACTATATATCGATCACAATATACCCTTCGGCTTAGCTTCTGCTGCAGGTCTCCAAGGCGAAGTAGCTGATGCTACTGTCGCAATCTGGAGAGAACTCAACGTCAAACCATCCAAGAAATGGGTGGACGACGTTAGCATCTTCCGTTTCCCTTCACCGACAGGTCTCTTCGTCAGTTTCTCTGATGGCTCATTATACCACTACGAATACGATCTCAATCACGCCAAACTTCTCATTTCCCCCGCGAAAGTTCCGTGGCATCCAGACAAAGGCCAGGACTTCAGCGATACTGGCGATTACGTCGGTTTCTTCTGGGATCTCCCTCAGAAGTCTGTCTCGCTCACTGAACTCAAACGTCTTAAGTATATCGCACGTCTCTCTGAGTTTCTCCTGCTCTTCGAGAACTCAAAAGTCCAGAAACGCGAACTAGAATCTGTCGCAGGTTTCTTAAACCACGCCTCCTTCGTCTATCTTCATGGACGCTCATATCTCTCCAGCTTATACTTGGCCATATCGGCCTATCATTCGAACGATTATATCCCACGCTGGCTACCCAAGTCCACCATTTCGGACATCAAATGGTGGCATCGTCTCCTCCTAGCAGATCAATCTCCACGTAGTCTCGCTCCTCATCCTCCTACCCGGGATCATGGCATATGGGTGGATGCATCCACAGACACGGGCATCAGGTTACTTTGGAATACCAAATGGGCCTTCTGGCGCACCAATGAGACTTGGTGCGGCCCATCTCGTGATATCGGTTGGCTCGAGGCCATCGTCGTTGAACTCGCTATCCGGCTCATATACAGTAAGCATATCACTGATTCCAATGTCCTCATACAGAGTGACAATCAAGGTGTGATAGCGTCCTTCAAAAAAGGACGCTGCTCGAATCATCTCATTAATATGTCCATTCGACAGTCCGAGGAACTCCTTCGAGAAGCACGTGTCTCGCTTACGTTCATTTACGTCGAATCCGCTTCGAACCTCGCGGATCCTATATCTAGAGGGATCCTACCACCTCGTTTCTCCCACCTTTCCTCTCCCCCATCTCTACCTCCCGACATCTCCTCGTACTTTCGAGATGAAGGAAACTGAACTATACCGTCAAGTTATGCAGGGCGTTGATGTACAAGCTGCTGCCGCTGCCTTTTGGGCTGACAACCCACCCTCATCCATACGTCAATCAGTAGCGCAATCGTTACAAGTCTCTCGCACTCGCACACCTCGCCCTCCTAGACTCAGTTCCTCCTTCACTCCATCTGTACATAGACCGCATGTTCTCGCCAGTGACCGTCTTCTTGTGTGGTCTACTCCTGCAGGTCAGGATTGGCAGGCCGATTTAGAAAAGAACTTCCCAGATGCATCTATCTTTCGCTTATTTCAAGTACGCCTTCTTGCGTCACTTCTCTAATATATCTGACCTCTCTTTAGGTCATGATTCGCTCTCTCGACCAAGACACTCGCAGCAACTACGGTGCTGGACTTCTCCGTTTCACGCAATTCTGCAACTCCATCAATGTTCCTGAAACTCAGCGCATGCCCGCCTCCGAAGCTCTACTTGCTCAATTCGTCGCAGCTTTCGCGGGTATCACCGCCTCCAAAACTCTCAACAACTGGATGGCAGGCCTTCAGTTCTGGCATATCGTCAACGGCGCTCCATGGCATGCTTCTGCCATGGTGCACCACACCAGACGTGGTTTCTCGAAAATGGTACCTCCTTCTGCTCGTCGTGCTAAGCGACCACCTGTCACTATCGAAGCTTTATCTATTCTTTTTGACAATCTCTCATTCTCCAATCCTTTTGACTGCGCGGTTGGATCCGCTGCCTTTATGGCCTTTTGGTGCTGTTGTCGTTTGGGTGAGCTCGTAATTCCGAGCCCCAATCTTTTTGACCCAATCAAACATGTTTCCCGCTCAGTTCTTCCTCTGGCCATCATCATCTTGTCCAACTCCGCTCGCGCCGCTTCTCTTCGCATACCTTGGACCAAGACCACGAAGGAAGAAGGTGCCATCATTTCCATCACTGCTCGCCCTCATCGCACGTGTCCCTTGGCTGCCCTGGAACAGCACACTCTCATCAATGCTAACGTTCCGGCGAATGCTCCCCTCTTCGCGTACCTAACACCTACGGGTTGGTCGCCATTGACACGTCAAGACTTCATCTCTCGTTGCAACAATGTCTGGATCTCTCAGGGTTTTCCACCCATGCCGGGTCATGCTTTCCGCATCGGCGGGGCGACGGAACTGTTACTACAAGGGGTGCATCCTGATGTAGTCTCTTCACAGGGCAGATGGACCTCACGATCCTTCTTGGAGTACTGGTGCAGAATTGAGACCATCTTGCCTTTATTTATATCATCTTCCATCAACAATGATCGCGTCGCGAATGTAGACACCATCATGGACTCTTACGCTCAACGTCTCTCACACCCTGCCCCCTCTACGTAATCATCCGTCTCTCCTACCAATATCATACGGGCACTTTTCATCTTCCAATCACATCATCTGACATGTTCAATCGCATCTCTAAGTGTGTGGGTTTGGTCTCCGAAGGAGACGCTACCGTTGTGAGCTGCGCTTTTCTTCTGGTTTGGTATTGCTTTCTCCTTCAGACCTAACGTCTGCTTCCGATACTGAATCAGTCAGCGCTCCGAAGGGCTGTTTTTTCCTCTTCCCGATACGTGCAGTTTGGTCTCTCAACGCACGCGTTTTCGGGCACTTCGAGCCTCGGACACAGAGCTCCCAGTCTTTATAGACACTGAGCCAAAATCTGTCTCGGCCAATCAACACCAGCCCTTCCCACACAAAAAACCAAATCCTCCAACTCATTATTTGAGCACGCGAAGATTTGTTTCTCCTCTCTTAGAATTCTCTTTCACTTCTCGTGGATATTCACTCTCTACGAACATCTCTTTTCTACCTCGTGCTAAGATTGACATAGTTCACTAACTCGCGACACTTCAATCTTTCTCTCATTCCACCTTTAACGCTGATATACAAAGGGCAACCATCACCGACAGAGCTGCCGCTGATCGGGCAGCAACAGAGTATAGGAGACTTACAAGGCAATGGGAAGCCGCGATAACTAAGATACGCGATCTTCCGGCGTTCTCGCGGTTCCTGCTTCCACCTTCGTATGAAGATCTGCAAGCGGCAGCGCGCCAGGGCCCGGTCATCATCCTCGTTGCCAGTCAATACTCGTGCAGCGCCATCATCGTCCCGACGTCAGGAAACCCCCATCATGTTCCTTTGCCGTCTGTCACCCTTGCAGATCTGACTAATCTCAAGGATCGCTTCGCCAGGGCAATACGAGATTCATCTCGGATGAACCCAAGGGAGTCGAGGACGGATCTCATAGTGCTCTCACGGATAATATGGGACCAAATCATGCTACCCATCGTCAACGTGCTCGAGCACGTCCTCAAACTAAAGCGCCGCTCTCGAATCTGGCTGTGTCCCACTGCAGCTTTCACGTCCATTCCTCTCCATGCAGCTCATCCATTTCAAACAAAGGCGGATCGTTCTGGGAAGGAGCCATGCCTGGAGGACCTCTACATTTGCTCTTACACCCCGACACTTTCAGCTCTAATTAGATCTAGACAGTTGATGAAGAAACGTGTGCCTCCTTCCTTTGTGGCTATCGGACAGGGTCAACCAGGTGCAGGGAAAGGCAAGGCGCTCTTGGCAGTCGAAAGCGAGCTCGAGCTTGTCCATACACTCGTCCCCGCGATGGCCAACCGCACTACTGTTTCTGGCGACGCAGCCACACGAGCAGGCGCACTCTCAGCTTTGCAGCAGAACACCTGGGTGCACCTTGCTTGTCACGGCAAGCAGGACCCTACGCAGCCTTACGATTCACATTTTGTCATGAGAGACGAACATCTGACGCTGCTCGATATCATGGAGAGACATGTTCCGCAGGCCGAGTTCGCGTTCTTATCGGCTTGTCATACTGCCGTCGGCGATGAGGAGACGCCCGACGAAGTGATCCACCTCGCAGCTGGTCTCCAGTTTTCGGGTTTCAAGAGCGTCATTGGCACGTTGTGGGAGGTCGATGACTCTGTCGCAACACACGTCGTCGAAGCTTTCTACAAGTATATGTTCGGAGATTTGAAGGATGGTGGTGTCATGGACTGCACGAAGGCAGCCTGGGCACTCAACTGTGCTACGCACTCGGTGAAAACGAAAGTGCCGCTTGAGCAGAGGATGGTTTTTGTTCATATTGGTGTGTAATTCTATGTCGTATTGCTGTCGTCTAGTACATATTCATGTGTTGTTGATCTGCGATTCTCTTTCATCCTGTTATACAAATGACCCTTATACATATTCTTGCGCTCTAGCTATCTTGTACATAGTAGGATGGATTATCATCATATTAGGGAGACGTGCCGCGATGCCGGTCCCGACACCGTTGTCCGTAACCATTGACTCGGATATCCACGTACAAAGTTGGCTGCTGCGATTCGGTCGTCCTTGGCTGATGTCGCGAAACTGTCTCTTGCGTTCTTACTAAGGATTATCTTACACTTTGTGCCGGCGTATATATTGTATCCACATGAATGCCACATAGCAACCCGCTCTCACTTGGAGTCAATCACTGTTGATTACTGCGAGCAAAATTTCTAACCTAACAGACTCGTCAAGCGTACATGCAATTACTATAATTTCAATGCGACAACGCATCGAGCACAAGACGGAACAAAAAATACAATGAATATAAACATAAACATACTCACAATACGGTACCCCTATCCACGCACTCACGTTTAATTTTCATCCTCCACCGCTATCATCATCATATCATCAAAGCTCGTTGTCGTACCCGCCTGCACGAATGAAGAAGATGCAAATATCTATAGTATAAACATACAATACCATGTACGCCTCGCACACACTTCGAGTCATAGCCTATTCTTCATCTTCCAAACCCAGCCAGAGGACGTCAAAAGCGGACAACGGTAGCTGCTACCAATTCCAATCGTCGTCTTCGAAACTCGGCGCCGTTCCTCCTTTGGCGGGTGCGAGTGACTCGGGTGTTTTGTGTACTGATGCGGACGTAGAGGTAGGCGTAAGCACAGATGGCATCAAAACCCTCCCAGCATTCACCGTATCCTCATCTTCCTCATCTTCCAGCCAACTATTTGTGCGCGGGATAGGGGCATGAGTTTTGGTGCGAGTGTGCAAGAACGTGGAGCGCGTCGATGGAGAGCTCGCGTTTGATGATGGTGTGCGTGAGGAATCGGAATCGGAAGCGCTTGGTAAGGTTCCGTGTAGGGAGGTGGTGCCGCTTGAGGGTGTGCGGAGGGATGAGGGGAATGGGAAAAGGGAAGGTGTTGATGTTTGCATTGATGTAGGAACGGGTGCGGGTGAGGTTGCCACTGGGCCTGGGGTTAATGCTGATACAATGGATTGAGAGACGTCTGCGAGGAGGATGGAAGCTCGCTTTTGGCTTTTGGAGAATCTGTGATGGGTGTTAGTTTGTGAATGTGATCGGAGGAAGAACATCGATAGTGAATGCACCAAACTGAAAGCGGGAAGAGAATATTACTCACACATCACCTCCAAGCTTGCGACCGACATTTCCCCACCCACCAGCTACGGCGAGCGATCCGGTGCCAGGCATCGATGTAGGCAGTACAACGGAGGAGCGTTTGCTAAGGAGTGTATTTGTGCTTGATGAAGACCCTGCACCATCTGCATCGAATTCTGAAGCCACCGCTGTAATGGACGCGTCTATTCCCGGATTGATTGTATCCCGAACGACCTCTGTAGTCGAGTCGAGTTCCACGCTGCCTCGCCCGAGGTCCACACTGGTACTCGTACTATTATAGGAACTGGCATGCCTCATAAATGCAGTCGGTGGATGCGAAAGATCGCGCGATCTCCGACGAAAGACTTTTTCCTGTCTCGCTCTTGATGCTTCCCTTTCTCGTGTTCGATTCGTGAAATGTCGTTCCGCGCCGATACCAGAAGAAAGGGAAATGTCTTCGTCCCAGACAGATGACACGGAACTCCTCGAGAATTGTGTCATCCCCGAACGCGTTGACGTGGACGTGGACGAGTCGCTCACACGCTGCGTGTGACGCCTCGGGACCCCTGCTGTTTCTTCTGTGTCGGTTGGGGGAGCTGGTGAGGGAATTGGAGAAGAAAGGTCACTTAGGTCGCTCAGACCTGCTGCGAGCAATCTTACGCCTTCTTTGAGGCCATCTACGACTGAAGCGGTGGGTGTGGACAAGGGAAGGGTGGGGTGGGGTGGTTCGCGGTTGACGATACGCTCCCATTTTCGCTTGACTAGGAAAAGAGAGAGGGTCAGTTCGCTCTGATGAGGAATTGAGGCATATGTGATGGCGGATATAGTGCGGAACGACGGCACCGAGGAAGAAGGACGAAATGAAACATCAAAAAGGGACTCACGTTCTCCTAGATCCCCTTCAACAGCAGCCAGTTGACCAGACAACTCGAGGCGCCTACTCTCGGCGGCTGCAATTGCGCGGAGGAGGTCGGCGTGCCTGAGATTTAGGTTCCGTTGACATCAATATAGGCATGCAGGGATCTGGACGTACTTCTCAGCTAATGTCAGCGCAGCTCTCTCTACACCCCCACTGGCACTGGCACTCCCAACGGACAGACGCGTGCGGGCTTCCCCAACTGTGTTTAATCCGCGCAACTCCTCGAGTCCTACCATAGTATGCCTCTTCATCGAGCGCGAGGTCCTTTTGCGTCCTTCGAATAGACCTCCCGCTCCGTGTGCCGTATCCGTTCCTATCGAAGCATCAGCTACGGTTGGAGAGGTGGATGTCCCGTGTCTCGAGAACACATCGACGCGGGAAGATACGTATGAGATGGAAGATTGCCGGCGGGTAGCTTTGAGGGCTTTTGTCGCGTCGTTGGGGGATACGCCTCGTGCGTGGGCACTCAAGGGTGGTGTGCTGCAACTTGGAGGGGGAGAATAGGGCGGGGAAGGGAGAGAACTCGCCGCTGTTGACGAGCTGGAGGTGTTCAAGAGAGTCAGGTGTTTAATGCCATTGCCATGGTCCATATTCGTGGTCTTGGACGACTTCATTTTTTAGATGGCGTTGATGGTTGAAGACATGGACAAGAGGACGATGTTGTCACACAAGATAAATATCGAGCAGTTGCAAAGCAACAGTCACTTTGGAATTATATATATCAACCGAAAAGGAAACTCTCCACATAGCGAGATGAGAGCGAGAAAAATCTCTATTTCCAGAGGTCACTGGCTGGTATGTCTCATCAAGGTAACTACATGTTGGCCGCTTTGCACTGTATATTAATACGAGAACCCGAATCAATGATGCGCTACCCCGCCCTCCTTCTCGGCTTCTGCAATAAAGTTCTTGATACTGTTCATCCTGGTCAGTCCGTGCTGCAGCACGAGTTGTTTGGTCCTTATAGAACACATACAATTGTTCCTCTTCACTGTAGACCGCACGGTTAGTCTTGTGTCTGCAAGCAAGTGAGAATGAGAATAAACGCACCTGGATCCAGCATTTATGGGTACAGCCTCCTTCACGCGCTCTGCAAGAGGTTTGCCTGACGATGCAGAATCTTTCTTTCCACCAAGAGATGCATACACGGCACCACCGGTCGCGAAGAGCGTACCCAACGTGAGGTACTCGGTTTTAATGGCGCGGCCAAAGATGACGCTAACAAGATTCCAGTCAGTGGGTCAGTAGCTAGTGATTGAGATATGCACACGCACTAAGACATATCGATTTTCGGAAGTGGAGGAAGAGGTTCAAGCAGAAGTGAAGTAGCCCGGGTTTTCCCGGATTGGCTTTGCCGACTAACCCAACCTCCGGCAGGCTCCCAAAACTTGCACTTTCAAATACTAGTCCCCTAGGTCAGGCATATCTTAGACAAAGGTCCTACTAAGGTAAAGCTGTGATGCATAGGACGCTATCAACAGTCGCGCGTGGAACAGCGTTCGAGCAACGGTCGCTTCAATTACTTCAAGAATGTTTCTCCATGTCCCTCAAACGCGTCGGTGGCAAATCTGATGGCGGCATCGACTTGCTGGGCTGGTGGTGGCTTCCCCTTAGCTCAGTTTCCCAGCCTACCCCGATTACACCCCCACGTAGACGCATACGCGTCCTTGCGCAATGTAAAGCAGAGAAGAAGAAGTTCTCGCCAAATTACGTTCGCGAGATGGAAGGCGTATGGCATATGCACGCTCAAGACCGCTCCCCTTCCGAATCTAATGTACGCGTGTCTGAACTGGGTACAGTAGCACTCCTCCTTTCAGAGTCAAAATTTACCACCGCAACCCTCACTCGTGTACTCGGATCCAGCGTTCCCTTTCTACTCGTGCACCTCCCTCCCCCTCCACCAATTTCTTCAGATTCACCCGTTGAAACCTCCTTCGGAGAAGTTGGCTCTGCTTTCTGGAATCCTGCTCTCGGTGGTGCGCAGGGTCTTCTTCGAGGAGAACTTGATGTTCGATGGGAACGTGACCCGGGAGGTGGTGGGCGGCCTGGGTTGTGGTGTCGTGACAAAAGAGTGCAGAGCTGGACGCCGGATGCACATGGGGAGTGTGTTAACGCTTCCGAGGATATCAATCGGTGACTAGGATGGTTGTCCGTCTATGGATGACCCGACTTGGGAGTTGAGTGTCACGCTGCCATTGTATGTATGCATACCGCGTATTCCTCTCTACCTTTGTCACACTTCTTGAAGGTGCCGACTGGGCGTGTAACTGCATTTGCATGTTCATTTCTTTAGCGCCCGCCGACGGATTTGGTGCAAGTGGTGATATGTAAGACGGAACAAACCGAGGTTCATCATAGGCATTCTAAACAAGGTACCTGCACCCACAGCATGTAAATTCGCAGGTCCATTCATCACCTCCATCATACCATCTCCTCGATTCTGATTTTGCACATTATCTCAAGGTTTACTGTCTACCTATCTGTGAAGTACGCCGTTCTCAATCAGGATTATGCCCCACGAAGAGGCTGAGTCAAGCACCTCAGCCAGAGGAAGAGAAGCGCAGTTAGGCTCATCAGCACGTATCAGACCTCTAGTGGGAGAGAAAGATCCACCGCCATATGGTGCACAGCATCGGCAGGATGCTCTATGGAAAGGTGGGCAAATCATATTAGGATGGCCACTGACTTACTTAACAAGATGCAGGCGGGAATGAAGCGCTCCCTCCTGAATGGCAACAGTTTGAGGTGTTAGATGGTACAACGCGATATCAAGACGACACGCTC